GCTAGAGATCTTATGTCCTGAGCACGCGATTGTTTCGCCTCTAATCAGTGAAGATTTTTAGCATTCTAATTGTGAAATTTTTATGTCTTAATTTTTTGGTGATATAATTTTGAATTTAATTTTTTGTTTTTGGCTAGTGGCCTGATGCAAATGGGTTGATTTCCGAATAAAGGCATAAGAAGCAACAACATTTTAGGTAAATTTGTGTGTTATGGAGCACATGTTCGTGTTACTTGCTGCCAATGGCTCTTCAAAAAAAGAACAAGCCGTATTCGCTAAGACTGTCCATTGCTGTTATTTGACAGTTACAGGTATTAATAGTTCTGTGTAGCGGAAAATGTTTTTCATCTGTCCCAAGGATTGTTCACAATCCATCGTGGATTATTAGCAACTTTTCTCAATGCATACAGCGAATTCTTGCTACTTATGAATTATCATTTGACTCCAGCACAGGTAGACTGTGGAGATGCAGTTGCAACATATTATGCAAGATTCGCAAGGTTGAAGAACTCAACAGACCGGTGGTTCTCGCAGTTTCCCAAGCATTGCTGCTTTAACACCGCTCCGTTGATTGTGCTGGTAGAATCTCTACTTGTGCCGGTTACACGATTTGCACGAAAATCTACCAATGACGATCTGCTACTGCTGCTTCGAGTGGCTAAACCTCCGGTTTCTTCGAAATGTCGCATGAGAATTATAGTGCTATTACAGTCACTGAGCTTCGGCAGGTTTTCAACTGTTTTGTCTAAAAAGCTATCGCAGAGCTGGAACAACTTATTCGTTTTTCAGGCAGAAGCAGTTTCTTATCAACCAAACTTAGTTTACAATCATTATCGTTAAAATCCTTAACTATAAATTTTTTTGCAATAATTAGATTTTTCCCCCTTCTGCCAGAGAAATTCGAATTCCTGGCAAAATTTGGATGTGACTGCATCCTTACATGACAAATTGTACAATTTTTATGAATTTTAAAAAAGATGTTTTGATTCACCCCGCATTTACAAAATAAAATGCTCACAGTAGCGAGTTCATTACATAAGGCTTCACAGAGGTAAATGTCAAAAGGAAATTTGGGTTGAGAGGGGGAGAAGAGAGATGCTTCTTAAACTTTCGCGCCCTTCCTTTTTTTTCTGCTAATTGATAAATTAGTAAGATACTTGTCTCGATTGCAATGATTTTTTTAAACTACACTCATATAAGAAGAATATTAATACATGTAAATTTGCTTGTGCAAATGTGTTTGCAAATTATCGACCCCCCTAAAAAAGTAGTATATCATCCGTAATATATGAAGTCGGAGCTTGGGGCTGCCGGGCTTAGGAGGTACTTAAGATTAGAATGAAATTGGACACCCTGCAGAAAGACTGTATGCTTGCCATTACAAGAGTCTTCAGAACCGTTTCGACTAAAGATGCCTGAGTCGTTGCGGGTGTTCCGCCCTTTTCAATTTTATACAAATCATACTACAAAGAGTTTCTATTAGCCAATAAATTTATTATAGATACTGAAATTGGACAAAAAGTACTCATAAGTAAAGCCTTTCAACAAGAGAATGATGATATTATTCACCCAATGACACGATTTGGATTATTTTACGATTTTGAGTTTACTTCTGGCAGCGAAGTAGACGTTTTTACAGATGGTTCTGGAATTGATGGGGGGGGGTAGCGTTGTGGTAACTTATTTTCATGGAGTGGAGATAGGCAATGTGAGAATAAAACTTAAACCAATGAATTCTGTTTATCAAGCAGAACTATACGCATTGACAGAGGCTTTGAATTGGATTAGGAAAAAATTAACAGTTTGACGTTTTATAAATATTTATACTAATGCCCTATCTGCGCTTTAGGTATTCGCCCAACCAGGTCATAAAAATCGACTGATTAATGAAATAAAAGACTTGTTTAAAAAGGCTGAAAGAAAACATATTGTTTAAATAACACTGGGTAAAGCACACAGTGGACTTGACGGAAATGAAAGAACGGACACTATTGCTAAAATAGCGGCATTTGAGGATGAGACCGATAATTTTGAAATCCAAGATTCAAGAAAAAAGGCCATTGCTGAAATGGAAAACTGGCTTTATACAGAATGGAATTTTTGCTGGGAGTCGTCTAATAAGAAAAAGAGTTATGAAAAATATAAAGTTAAACAAGAAGATGAATATTATAAATAATGTTGATGTAAATCAGGTACTGACTAATCATGGGCGTTTCCCGGCTTATTTTAATCGGTTCCATCTACAGAATAATGATAAATGCTTAATATGTGATAAGTTTGGGGACGCCAAGCACTTCGTCGATGAATGTACGCTTACCCGGAGTGCAAAAGAGAAATATAGAAAGAATTTTAAGGAAGATTTTAAAAGGAACTATTCAAATTTGAAAGATTTTGCAGAGACAATAATGAAGATTATAAATACGAACAAAGATAGAATTGGAATTCGGTACTGAGGCTTAGATTTTTGACTTTATAAGTTTTTTTTTCTTATATTTGTTTTTTTTTCTGGCCAGTCCAATTTTTTGATCATACGACCGGCTTGTGCCGGCTAAGAGGATCGGGGCTGTGCCCTTATAATAATAATAAGAAGAATACAACTTCGTGGACATTTCTTTTTCTACATCTTCATAAGATCTTTAATAGATGCTTGTTTCGATGGCCGTTTTCAGTTAAATTTTTTATGTTTCCAAAAGCGAAATATTACATATATAAAATTAGCTACTTAAAAATGAGTTTGCTGGCGCATAACTATTATCTGTGCATTGGAAATTAGCACAATTAGTTGTAAAAATGAAAATGAAGTATGTACGCAAAGCTGTCTCTTGCAATGTGTAAGAGTTGTTTTAAAATTGTACTAGAATTCCTGTTATTCGGCTTCCACCTATCCGAAACTTTAGTTATTCATAGTGCTTTATTTTTGGGCCTATGCGAATAAATTTAGCTTGTTGTTAATTTCTTTTTGTTCTTTTCTTTAATTTTTCGTTTAATTTAAGTAATACAAAAGTATAATATAGGAGAGTACATGTTATTAAAAAGCTATTAAATTAATTTAGATGAAGGTGTACATTATGCAGATTGGCCTAAAATTGTTCCAGTAATATGTTGCCTACATTTGCATTAAGAAGTAAATCTGTTTTGAGGGGAAATATACGAATTCGTTATTCATAGAAAATGTTAAGGTAAGAATAATTGTAACTCGACGGTAATTAGTTTTGCATTGCATAGTTAAGAATACACTTTAATTTGAAAAGCTTAAAAAATTGAATAATAAAAAGATGAATTTCGAAATTTATGCTTACCTGTAGTACACAGTTCCTGTAATCTTCGTGAAATACTAATGTTTGCTGATATAGAGGATCAAGCGTCTTCCTTGCAATTGATGTCTTTCTCTTAGCAATACATTTTGTGCCTTTAACAAGGTACACTTTAACATAAGGCGCTACAAATATAAAATGGCATTTTGTATTATTTTCATTTGATGCATGAGAACATTTTAATGCTGAAATTTACTATAAAACTGAGCATCTAAGAAGCTAATGAAAATAATTAATTTAAACAATAACCTGACAGCCAAAAATTTCTGAAAATTTATGTTTTAGTACTGCCAAAGGTCACAAACGATATACTCACATATCTACATCGTGCCCACAAAAGTCCTCACCCGGCCTTTATTTTCACAGCCGTCGGTCGCAGACATATGCGCTTCTAGTTACAGAAATATTTTAAATGATGCAAAGATTTATATTTTAGCATTTTGAAATATAAAGAAACAAATTTTGCAAATTACGAAATCTTTCTTTTTTATACCATCCTCCGATATGTAGGAGAAGTTTATACTTCTTGTAAAAAATAAAATGCAAAACGTTTGATTCCCATACGACAAAAATTGACCAAGTATTTATAGTATATATTTATATTAGTATTAAAGTTGGGAATCGTATTTAGGGACCATGCCCAAATTGAGAAGCGAAATGCTAGCATGTGTACGTAACTAAAAATAAAATATCAGTTTAGAAAAAGGTTTAATGGTGTTAAGATATTAAGCGACGAGTATTTCCATACAGATTATTATGAAAAATACTGATCAACGCAAATATGTTTATAAATGGAGGTCTTATATAATGCGCATTCTAGAAAACACCAGCAGCCTTCAGTATTGGCATGCAACCAACTTATAATATTATTTATTTTAGTTTTAAACGAAAAAATACCTGTAGTTTAGTGAATTCTTTTATACGATTACCAGGTTATGATTCTAAATAAAACTTCATAGGAATATCAATTACGCATCTTTAGATTTTGGAAACTTACAAAATACTTGTGTGAAAATTCTATCGACGTACCAAATGTAACAAAATTATAATTTAAAAACACTAGTAAATCACAAAAAATATCATTCAAGGCATTAAGAGGAAAACATCAACATCAAACATTGCAAACTTAAATTAATTTTCTCGGTCAATTTTTCTCATACAGACGTCAAATTCTGTGCGTTTTATTTTTTATGACGAGTATAGAATTTTCCTAACTATAAGGACCAAGAGAACGTATAAAAAGTTAGATCCCGTGTTTTGTACAAAATTATTTTTTTTAAATGAAAAAATATGATAACTTTAATCATTACGTCATTTAAGCATTTTTGCAAAATGAAGTATATGCTTACGACCAACAGTTGGGAAAATAAAGACCACGTAAAGACTCCTCTGGATGCGGTGGATACCTGAAATGAAGTTCTCTCATTCTGTACATTTTCCCCTGTAACGTGAGAAAAGTGGAAGATTTAATTGATTCTGATAAGGAGCAGGTCACTCTTTGAAGGCGCTTTAGTAAGAACAATGCTTGAGAATGATGCTTTTTGGAGTTCCATAAAGCCCGGTGAATCCCTACTCGGAAACTCTAGCAGCTCACCTATCGTAATTCATGGACATTCAAGTAGCTTTCATTTATGCAATTGCATTCTTTAGTGGAGGTGGAATTTTTTTTTCTGCCAAGTAGCGTGCTATTTCAAACTTCAAATAAGGCTTAGGAATGGTTTCAATATTATAGAAAGGAATTTCCTGACTTCCATGGAACCAGGACATGAATTTAGGAGAGCATTTTCGGTTTGAATTTGTGAAATTCATACGAGTAACATTATGTATAGTACGTAATTTACAGAAACCGAGGGACTTTCTTTTGCAGTCTTCGTACCATATATTTAAGAACATCAAACATTCAGCGAGATGAAATATCTTTTCGAATAAAAACTGTTGAGGCTTCAAAAGAATAACTTTTATCATATTCGGTTAAATATTTTGGCTGGTTTGTGTAATTATTTAAATTCAAAGGAATATTTTTTGGCAAAACTTAAAAATATCTATTCATTAAATACCTGCAGGGTGGCAAGTAAGCAAGTTTAATTTATATTGAAAAATTTTATAGATTAAAATTTAGAGATAAGATACCGACATGTAATGAGAGATATCTACTGAAATACAAACCTGTGTGCTAACCTAATTTATGTTCTGTCGCATTAGCGTTACCCTGAAACAATCTTCCTTTCTTAATTTGTTTCTTATTTTCTTATCTAGGAGTGTTTTATATTCACAACAGTATGTAATTTAATTGCATGTAATCTGGGATTTATAAAACGATGCACTAGCAAAAACAAAACTAGTAACCGGCAGTTACGCACGTGTTTAAGCTCAATGATACTGTTCAAGTTTTTTGAAAATACTGCTCTGTTCTTGAATATCATTTATAACTTAGTTCCTTCGTTTCTAATGATGCGGAGTCAAATTATTTACACTGTGCTATCTTAACTCTGAATACTGATTTAATTTACAAAACTAAATTAACTTGTTCTCCAGATTAAGTTACTTGAAAGTACAGGTAAATTATTGATAGTATTTTTCTGTTAATTACAATATGGGCTATTTCTATTTTTTTGTGTATTTTTTAACTGCCCTCAGATTAACCGTGACTTTGAGTTAAAGTGAGCTAACGTTTGTCCCTGGTGTTACCCCAATTAATTCATAGTTTATCGTATTGGCAAAATTTTGTTGCGCTCGACATCTCTTCATCAATATTTGCCTCCTTTTACGTCTCATTTCTCTTCATTTCCCCATTTAGCCTTCAAGAATGCCACTCGGAATGGGACTTTTCACAATTTATATAAATTCATTCTTTATATGCCAAATATAATCTGTTAAATATGAATAATGTTTTGAAAGATGTAAATAGATTTATGATTTGAAAATGCAATCAAGAGTTTCTTTTATTTTTTAATGCATGTGAAATGGAACTCTTTATTGGATGTTTTTATAAATTATTTGACCTAGATGAATTTATACGTTATTCTCCTAAAGTTAAATTTTAGGAATAAACTTTCTTTCAAATTAAAATAAAGAATTAATGATGGTGATAAAAATACAGAATTCTGACTTAGAACTTCTTATTTGCAGCACTGTACTTAGTGAAACTTAAATACCATGACTCAATGAAAGAAAACGCTTCCTTCGTTTCTCAATAAAAGTGCAATCTGCACTTTCTTCAACTTACTTTTATTCGGGGGGAAAATATAGTTTAATTCTCAAAGAAAGGCAATAAGTTAAAATCAGCTGTTAAGCCCTATAGATGAAACAAACAAACAGATAAACACACACCATAAAACTTTATATATATATATATATATATATATATATATATATATAAACACCTTAGTTATCAAAAGCAAAACTTTTTTCTCAGACTTCGTCGCACTTTAAAACTTCTTATCCCTCGAAATGCTTAAGGAAAAGGGATGGCTTTCTGAGGAAGACTGGATTATAGACACACTCCTCATGTAAAAAACTACGAAAACCAACCATGCAGCAAGCCCGTTCTCCCGGGATCAACTTTTATCTTTCGACTGCCTTAGTTCAAGAAACCCCAGCAAAAACATAACGATCGTTAAAATTTTTCAATACTAATAGACACAAGTGAGAACTCTGGCCAACGGGCTGTTTGCATGGAAGTATTCATGGTTCCCCGCGTGTTATGTGAATACAGCCAGTTCCTTTAAGAAGTCCTCCTCGAAGACATCCCTCTCTTCAAGGCGTTAGCACTCGAGTTTTTTTGCCATAATCTTACCTACCTAATCTAGCAAGCAACTTGCTAGATTAGGTAAGCATTTGATAACTAACTTATTTGAGTTAATTATCAAAGTATTTGTGCTATAATTTATGTAACCTTATCTACGTATATTCACTGAAATGCAGACTGATGTTACTTTTTTTTCCAAATATGAGCAAATTTTCAAAATTGCCTATGAGAGTCTGAAAACAGATTTTATTACTAACCGGCGTATTCCCTTGTATCAAAATCAAAAGCATTTCAGATTAACACGTTGAGTGCCACATTAGTCACCGATAACTGACGTTGAACTTTCCGTTCAGGCCGCCTCAGTCTCCGATAATTGATAGTGATAAATACGCTAAAAAATGTAAAAAAAAAAAAAAAAAAAAAACCCGTTGTTTTAATGAACATTATTCAAACACAGTAGATTTAAAAACGGTTGATATTCGCAGGTATCACAAAATGTGGCAATTTATTTAGCGAAATTGCTGGCCACTTCTTTACCAAATTGTGCCGCAATTTCTTCATAGCATAATTTACAATATCTTCGCATTGTAGAGAGACTTTCCAAATTTTTTTGGAGTTTGTGTCGTGTTTTCTTAGTAATAGCTGCAAATACTGCTAAATAGACTGTCTTTGTCCTGGCAGTTTGCGAGGTGACATTAAACTGGTTTAATTGACATTTTCACGTTGTAGGCTAAAGAAACATTTTTGTCTGCGCTGGACCAAGAACAACAGAGAAGTGAGTGCATATAAAAGTAAAAAAAAAAAAAAAAAAAAAAAAAAAAAAAAATTCTTAACTAGAAATATTAGGAAGTGCGCTTGGCATTGTTATACCACGATACCAGCCCACTTCTAAGCTGCTCGCGTGGCCTAATGAGAATTTCTTTTATAAATTCGCGTGGCACTCAATGTGTTAAATATAAATTTGCCATGCTTATCAAATTAAAACTGGCATGAAATAATCGGTTTCTGTTTTTGGTATATTTCCATGTTGATTAATCTTACTATATGCTCAATATTTAAGAAAGTGATCTTACCTGGGGGAACTTTTCCTTGTTTTGGTTGTAAGGCTTTAGCTCGTATCACTTCAACTTCTAAATTACCTTTTCTATCTCCTAAACTTAATTGAATGTCACCTAAACTAGGAGAAGCTAATCCTTGTCGTCCAACTAACTGACCAGGTCCTAACCCTTCCATGAAGCTGGAAAATTCTCCTTCCGGCACTAATCTGATAGAGGGTAACCACCTAAAAAGAGATTTTGAAATGAAAAGCTCTATTTCACATTTGCTATTTTAATTCATTTATTTATATCTAGGTATTAAATATTTTAAAATGCATTCATAATAGAATAAGATTTTAGAACAAAATTCCAGAACAGACTGAAATTTTCTCTGGAAATCCAAGATTTAAACATCGAAATACCATTCCATATCTTCTCGAAATTTGGAAATATCTCTGTGAATTTCAAAAAATAATTCTATTCAGAATATCATATATATATATATACTTGGGTGTAAAATTAAGAGACTGCACATTATATCGAATTTCTGAAAAACTAATGGACAGATTTTAATGAAATTTGGTATGAGTACGCTTGTATAGAATATTTATGAATATATAACATATTTATGAATGTACAATATATTTATGAATGCATGTTACAGCGAAAGATACGTACTATTCAAAAATAATTTTATGAATGCATGATTATCAGAAAAGCTAAGAAGTACAGGGATGTCCAAAATCCCAAAATCTTCGTTGTAATATCGAGCTGAAAATGAGTCTAATATGGGGAATGGTCCCCTCTTTCAGAAAGACAGGTTGCTTTTCGTGACTGCATACTAGACAGGACGCAGATGAAGAGTCTCTGAAGAGTCGACCCCTCTCCTGCAGCAAAGTGGTTTTCAGCTGAAGGATGGTTTTAGGAGAGAGATAGTGAGATGGTATTGCGCTCCCAAACGTTTCCTAGACATGCTCTATAATGTTGAGGCCAGGAAATCTAGATGTCAACCCATGCGGTGTGTATCCTCACTTTCCAGGTAATCGTCGAACAGCTGAGCTTAACAGGTGATGGCATACTGGACCCTGCATCGCCCCTGCATGCAGACGAGCGCTGTCGTCCATAAACCGGAACTTAGGACAACTTTGCCCCTGAAAAGTTGATCATAAAGCTGTAATCTCTCCTTCCTATACCTCATGGCAGTCAGGAAATCTTCGTCAAACACATACAGGTGTGAGCGGCCATGCAACTAAATGTCTGGCTAAACCATCACAGGTTCAATATCCTAATGATTCTTTGCCCTGATGAGGGAGGAATGATATCGTGTCCAAAACTCTCTCCAGATACAGGCAGGTGGAGAATCAGTGTTTAGGCTGAATCTCGACTCATCTGTAAAAAGTACGATGCTTCACTGAAGTCTGCTATAAGACGCATGCTATTCTGCACCATCATGCTTGATCCGCTCTTTTGTGTGCTGCAGTGATCAAGACTCAAACAGCGGATCGTCAGGCACACAGCCCTATCTCATGAAGTCCTCCGGCAACTGTATACCTTGGATCGCGGGTTCCAGTTTTACCATATTGCTCAAGTGAGTGCTGTAGCAGTCCTGCGTCGCTACTTTGAGAGCACCAAATATCAATCCTCATTCGTCGTTTTGGATCTTGGTATACCTTGTTCAGGTCTTCTTGATATGGATCCAATGTCCTGAAACTGTTTACACATACTGAAGACGACACTGGGCGTTACATTGAGCTCTGCAGTCTCCTATGATTGTGATTGGCTTGCCTCCAATGTTCCAAAAATTCTCTATCTCATTTTGTCATTCATACGTTCGTGGCTAATCATTTTACCTGGCACATGACACGGCGAATGTCGACAAGGAGTACGAGCAGACAGATCGTTGGAAACTCCTTACCTCTTGTACCCTTTCATCCCCTCCACAATCACAGCTCCGAAGACATGTACTTGTACTCCTACATATCTGATTCTGAATATTTGCATAATTCTTCGGTGGCACTAGTATCTTTAGTTCAAGGCGTTTCATAAAAATAGAGATAATTTGCCAATTCTCTTAATTTTGGACACGAATATATGTATATATATATAATTTAAAGTAAAGCCGAAAGAACAAACGATAAAAGACCTATATGGTCAAAAACTTTGCGCATTGTGCTGCAAAATTAAAAAAAATTAAAAGAAAAATCCTAGTACCAACGCTAAAAAGCCGCTGAAATACTGTGGTTCCGTGAAGACTTTAACATAAGCAAAATAAGTAGCAATGAAATGTGTTAAAAGAGAAAAACATAACATTTGATTATTTACAAGTAAAAATCAATACTAATAGTAAGCAATATGCTAAACTAATTAAGGTATATTTAAAACATAGTAAAAGTATTAACTAATTATTCGAGTTAAAAATAAAAGTAAGAAGTGGTAAATGGCAGATAGCCCAATTCGAAGTTCATTAAGGCACGTCAGGGGAAATATTTTTAATGCAACTCTCGAACTAAGCTAACTTCATCACGCGTTTCGCCGAAACAGACAATTGAAACTGCACGCGACACATTATATATATATATATGTAATGATTCCAAATGCTATAAAAGCAGGTACTATAAAAGCTCCAAATGTGTAGATCGGGCCCTTACAAAATTTTAAAACAATATTCTGAAGTTACTTTTGAAATTGTGAAATTGATAAGCCTGTAGAGACATTAGGTTAATTGGAAGCAGAAAAGATGAAAAATATGCAACCGCCTTCGCCGGGAATCGAACCACGGACCTCTGGAATACGGCCCAGAGTGCTACCGTTACACCACGAAGGCACGCTAGGGAAGTGGGAGAAATACCTTATAAGCCTAATACTCTAATTAAAAAGAAATCGGAAATTGTGCATTCAGCCAGACTCAAACCTTTCAGTTCAGGTAGTGAATTTAAATTAACTGTTAGAAATATTAGAATTCCTATCTCTGTCCATAATTAACTTATTTTAATTTTCCAAACTTCTGCATTAAATTTTTTTCCCGATCATGACATTTAATATCTAATTTAGACTTAAATCCTAACTGTGACAAATTATTTTTCCCGATTTTGACCTTTCCCAATCTAGCTCCTTTCCTATCCTGCCTTTCCTTCTTCCGAGAGCTTTTTAGGTCCAAAATGTGTAGTATACGTCCCCCGTAGCCCAGAAAATGAGGAGAGGAAAATTTCTTCTTCGAACACATTGTGAAAATCAGGATTTTATACTAGATTTTTCATTAAAAGACGAATGTTTTTATTCATTTTATGCGACACTAGGTTTCACACTATGTGTATTACTCCTTGCATCCTCTCTTTAAGGAAGATACAGGAAGTAATAGCACACACCCTCTGCCCCCCCCTAGGTATACTCCTAACATCCCCCTGAATATTTCTTCTTTTCTGTTAGGAGATTCAACTTTGGTCATGAGATTGACTTGGTGATTGGTTTTTCTATTTTCTTTACCAGTCACGATCCTCTGACCATATTTTAGCACAGTAGTGCTACAGCACACACACGCACACAAATTTTAAAACAAAAATTTTCTTTCTTCTTATTGTACGGACAGGTTAAAAAAAAGACTCTAACTTGATTATACAAGTTGTTTATCTTCAATTTCAGTTTTAAGTTTGCATAATGTTGTATTATTATTAAGTAATATGAAAGATTTTAAAAACAGAAAAACTTTGATAATTGTACAATGTTAAAAACCAGTTACCTCTCCTAAGGAACGGAGGTTTTTTTTGATCTGTTGTACTTAAGCATCCCCGATGGTACGCTGATTTTGTTGGAGAGAAAATGCTAAGTAATCGTCAAAGTATTCTTATTTTATTGAGTATTGCATTATACTATGTTACTATACTGTATTTGTTACTATACTGTATTTGTCTGTTGTATTAAATATCTGTATCTACAATAGGAAGAAGTTATTCAATTAATCATAAATTCAGTATTATATTTTCACATGAATGTTGGCATCTCAGTCTGTATTATAATGGAAATACTTTCGTCAACAAAAAATTTGAACTATTTTTATTTGAACATTTACTTTGTGAAAAAATTTGAACTTTTACCTTGTGGAGATTTTTTCATCGAGATCCTTACACAATTTCATTGGAAATTCTTATCTCAGAACTCTAAAATATGCAATTGTTTTAAAAGAATACAGTGCTTAAAATTTTTATTGAATTTAAAATTCTACTAACGACTTTCAGTGAAATGTCAAACTGAGTCAAAATATCAGTCAGACTTCTACGATGATAACTTTTGTTTAAAAGTTAATATTATGTTTTGTATTTTCAAAATTATGTTTTCTAATATTTTGCTGCTTTAATGCTTTTTCTTCCATCCTGCTATCCCAACTTTTCTTTTGAAGTAGGGGATATGTAAGGTATAATAAAATATGATAGCTGCTTTAAAAAATAATTCGCGACATCAAAATTAACATTCTAGATTTGGTGATCTCCGCCTAAATTCATCTGTTTTTCCAAATTCCAGATTTTTCTATCTTACGTAAAGTTTTAATGCAGATACCTCTTTTCCAATCAAATTAATTGTAAACCGAAACTTTCTCTAACTCGAACTGAAACAATCGATTCTCTCCCTTCTTCCTATGAGTTGCAGCGTTCTCTTTCGCTTACGCTTCCCTGCTGGCAAGACACTGCTTTTCCATGCTGGTACTTATTTGCCTAAGATAACGCCATTTAAAATGGAACTTATTGTATTCCACTATAATTAAGAAATATCTTGTCTGCAAAAGGATGATTTGATATACAAAGTAAATAAAATAAAGATTGTGATTCTTTATGCTCAGTTGTGCTAAATGCGTCATCATGTTTTTCCACTCGGCTCTACCTTCAAGCCGCTACGGTCTTCTCGGCCATCTACGCAATATCGAAATATGTAAAAAAGTGCAGGTTGTTTCCTTCTACGTATTTAAAGTACAACATTATCTTGTCAGCAGGAAAGCATATGCGACAGAGAACGCTGCAACTCAAAGGTAGAAGGGAGGGAGTCGATAGTTTCAGTTCGAGTTAGAGAAAGCTTTGGTTTACAATTAATTTGATTGGACAATATCTGCATTAAAACGTTATGTAAGATAGAAAAATCTGGAATTTGGGAGAACAGATTAATTCAGGGGAAGATCACCAAATCTAGAATGTTAATTTTAAGGTCGCCAATTATTTTTTTAAATCAGCTATCATATTTCGTTATGTCTTACATATTCCCCGTCCTCCCCCCCAAAAAAGGTTGGGAAAGCAGGGTGGAAGAAAAAGCATTAGAGCAGCAAAATATAAGAGATATAATTTTGAAAATACAAAACATAATATTAACTTTTAAACAAATATGTTAAGAAAGTCGACGGGATTAACCGGGTTAAAATTTCCGCAATGGGTTTCGAACTCTGTTGCCTTAATTCCAGTGGATCATCAAATTCGTTTCCAACGTTTTCAAAAATGCCTTGAACGTCATCGAGTATTTGCGGTTGCGGGTTTAAAAATTGAAAGAGAAGAAAAAGTGTTTTGAATGAAGGTCATTTAATCAGTGTCGCAACGTAGTCAAATATGTTTAATGATTCTTGCTCGCTTGGAATATTCACAATATTTCTCCATTTCCGATCATCGCTTAAAAAGAAAACGCTTTAATGTTCAGTAGCATCCAAAGTGCATTGAAGCATCCAAAGTGCATTGAAGCATCCAAAGTGAGTAAACATCCAAAGTGCTTTGAAGTTCAATAACCCTTATCAGTAAAACGAAATAGTGTTTAGTGCTATTTTCACTAAAAGAATGGAATATCATCAGCAGTGATGTTGAAGTGGTATTATGCTCCAAACTGAGTAAATTACGTTTTAAAATAACCTTGCATTATAAATAATTATGTTGTTTTATGATTTGTTGATGGTAATATTTTAACTTATTTTAATATGAAAACATTGGAACTTTTAATAGCTTTCGATATTGCGTAGATGACCAAGAAGACCGTAGTGGCCTGAAGGTAGCACGGAGTGGAAAAACATGATGACACATTTAGCACAACCTGAGTTTGAAGAATCACAATCTTTATTTTTTTCCCTACCAAATCATCCTTTTTCAGACAAGATATTTCTTAATTACAGTGGAATACAATAAGTTCCATTTTAAAGTACGACGTTATCTTAGGCAAATAAGCACCAGTATGAAAAAGCAGCGTCTTGCCAGCAGGTAAGCGTGAGCGAAAGAGAACGCTTCAACTCAGAGGAAGAAGGAAGGGAGTCGATAGTTTCAGTTCGAGTTAGAGAAAGCTTTGGTTTACAATTAATTTGATTGGAGAAGAGGTATCTGCATTAAAACGTTATGTAACATAGAGAAATCTGGAATTTTGGAGAACAGATAAATTTAGGGGGTGATCACCAAATCTAAAATGTTAATTTTGAGGTCATCAATTATTTGTTTTACAGCAGCTGTCATATTTTGTTATATCTTACATATGGTATGTTGCAAAGAGGGTCGGTTTAAACGCATAGCAAATACCGCGTGTGGGTGTGTGTAATGAAAGCAAAATTTAGAGAAGTATTGATGTAGGAACATTAAGATGTAGAAACGCACAGAATACTGATGACGGAGCACGTAGAGGGAATATTGAAGAGGAGGAATTTTTATGGCGTAGAATGCTGAAAGGACGATCCACAATGAATTGGAAACGAGCACCCAAGCGAGATTAACTATTCATTTTATTTTCAGCAAACATGTTGCGGCCACACACAACTTGGCACATTATTTGTTTATTTTGTACATTTTCCATAACATTTACATTTTTGATATTGTTGCGATAGAAAGATAGCACAGCGAAATGTCATCCACGCAGCACTGAAATGCAGTGCGAATTTATCCAGTCTGGAAGATCGCCAAGAGGAAGGTTTTGGTTTAGGTCAAAAAAGTTTCAGTTCCGAAGAGTTTAAGTTTCGAAAAAGCTATGTCATGAATATTCATAACACGAGCATGTTAGGACACTTTGTTTCATGCTGCTGGCGGCATTTCTTCCCAAAATCTTCGGCCTTATGTAGTAAGAACTTCTGAATCGTGTAAATAAACATGCGTTTTCCCAATCCTGGGTGATTTAAACGGCTTATACTTGAGCTGACATTTAGTATCCTGCACTATGATCTTTCATGAATAGGCTGCCTGGGGTAGGACGTCTCTGTTGAATCTTATACATTTCAGCTGTTATTTATGAAGTATTAATAACGTACAGCATCATTATCTGATACCGTACGGCAGTACCAAGTCTACAGGATGCTTCAGAAAGATTACTCGACTAATATCGCACCAACAGCTATCACAGACAATTTGTCTGAGCACTTAATGAGATAAATAATGTAGACTTTTAGAACTATTTAGTTATATTATTACGTATATTTTTACTATATACTATCAACGGAATTTACTGTATATTGATTTTATAGTAAAAATATACGCAACTGGAATTTTTGTACGGATCCCGTAGAAAAAAAAATCAATATGAATCAGAAAAATGTTTTGGTGATATGTGCAAATGCTGATTAAGAGAGTTATGCGTGTGAATTCTTAAATGCAGTTTATGAAGGATGCTATCTCCATTAGAGAAACATTTATATGTAGACACCTAGGTTTCAAATTCTCATTCGTAGAAATGCTAAAAATCGAAAATTTTTATTTAACAAAATTACATTTTTGTATCACCCTAAAATTAAAGTTTTTCTACAACTCCAAATTTGTTATTTTGGCCACTTATTTCTTCAGGTGAGAGTGGCTATATCATAGAAAGTTTTCAAATCATTTTTTTCAGAAGCACTTTCGCATATATCAGAAATCAGTTTTTACCTTAACATCTTCATTCAAATAAGGTACAACTGGTTGATTACAACTTCCTTTTACGTATAAGAGAAGTGTATGTAAATTAACTTTCACTTAGTTTCAGTAAAGCTTGTCACGAACAAAATTAATAAGCATCACCTATATTAAGGAAGAAATCACAGGAAGTGTATCTTCTTTATGAACTATAATCATATGGTACCGAAAGGAATGTTTGAGAGATGTTTATTCAGTAGACGTAGCATGCAAACCAACAATGAATCAGGATGAATCGAAGTCTAGTTAAATGTCATATTATATTATTAAAAACACCTTTAACTAATGGTATCAAAATTAGAAATGCTTGTAAAATTATTCATAATAGAATCTCTTTTGTGCTTTCGAAAAACTTAACTAAGGTGGGCATAGGCCTTTAATTCTTTCAGTTTAGTTAATAATAAAGAGTATAAACAACATGATTAATTACATATCACTCCAGCTGGAAAGGCTTGTGTCGAATGTGCCACATTGTATTCCTAAGAAATTATTACCACGCTCAACACACACTGAGATTTCAACAGTCTAATTCAGTTATAGATAGCTTGCGCTTTGTGAAAAAATTTAAAGGATTACTTACACTGAACTATCTCCACTAAGGCTTCCTTCGCCATCTGAGGAGACACTACTGGCTTGTTTCACTAGATGACGACACTCAAGCGGAGCTACTTCTTCGCTTCGATGGACGTTTATAGTAGAAGATTTCTTTCTACGGAATCCCATGCGCTTTTTGTGCCCTGTTTGAAACGAAAGGTATTAAGAAAAGCACAAACATTTGGGAGAAGAAAACATAGTAAACAGAATTTTAATTTGAGAGGAGAGTTTTTATATTCTTGAATAAGTTAAATCTTCTCGAGAGGTCTTTTTCGATAAAAAGTAAAATTTTTAATTTTAAAATTATGAAAAAGTTTAGAAATTTTAGAGAAATCACGAAACTTCCCGAAAATGAATAACATTTTGAGAAAATTAATTCAATGTTTTGTTCTATAAGTAAACACAATAGTAAAGAAGCAAAAGTATTAGCAAACTTCTTTTCATACGTTGCGTAAATCATTATTTTATAGCCAAACTAATATGTTTTAAAAACTTTTTATGAATTACAATTCACGCTTTCCCCCAGGCATGCTTCAGTATTGTACGTGACAACCATGTTCAGCTAGCACTTGGAAGTTCTGCGGTTCGAATCCCGGAGAAGACACAGCTGATTTTTCATGTTAAGAAAATCTAGTATGATGTAGCTGTTTAAGAACATTACAAATTAATTATGTAACTAAAAATAAAATAAAAAATAAATTTATTAAAGGGTACTTATATCATTTTGAAACTGCTGTATTTGTTACTCTGGTGAGCTTGAAAGTTGAGTTAAAGATCTCATGATGAGCAGAGTGTTAGAGTTTTCAGCATCAGCAGCTTACCAAACCGCATGAATGATTTACTGCTTCAGATTTGAATACGATTTCTTTGTATATGCTATTCGATGTCTTCCCTCTTGAGATATTAATTATAATTCTGATTTAGTTTATTGATTTGATATTCAATATCACAATTTTCCCTTAAATGGGTTGAAAATATTACGCATTTAAATCGTTTTGTTTCGCTATAGACTTTTAACTCGCATTCTTTGTTTGGGTCTAATGAATAGTTCAAGGAAGTAACTTTAATCATTATTCAGAGTGTCCATAAAAGTCATTACACGGTCGTTATTTTTGCAGCCAGTGGTTATATACATATACGTACAGTTACGAAAAATGCTTAAATTAAAAAAATATTCATGCCCATCTTTTAAAAATCAATTTTGTAAAAATAAAAAAATATCTACGTTAAACAAAAGTTGCTTTTTTTTACCTAATTTTGAAATTTATTAATTCAAATTTAACTTAGGGAATGAAATAATCCCTTGTGTTTTAAGTAGTTATTTTTTTAAAATTTGTAATTCTCTGCAACATTTGTAGTTTGCATCTAACAACAGTTTTGATTACTTTTAAATACAGGTAGCGTATGAAGTTTAGTTGAGATTTCATATTTTCGCAGTAGACTCCACTAATGGCTGAGTGGCTAATGTTCCTGAGCACTGGTAATTCATCTCGTGTTCTACTTACGGCGCACAGGCTGTCTTCACGTAGCTACCGTAGTTTTTCTCATGAAGCTTTCAGAGCCAGTTTTCTTTAATATGTTTTTTAAGAAGGCAAGTCTTTTGGCAGATAACCCTTTCGTATTTTGGCTTTGATTAAATCAGTCAACCAACCAACTAATTATACTTTCTTCTTGCTTTACTGAGCTCTTAAGTTTGAGATAATTTTACTAGCTGTCGGAGACTATAACTTTGCAATAAGAAGCTAATACTATTGAGATTTGAGTCTAGGAAAGAAGTTAATTGTACATTTAAACGAGACAAAGAATATAGACATTTGCTAATAATGGAGATAACTGTTTAGGAATGATGCTTCCGTGGGGAATTTCTGTAAGAAGCTACTCCGTATTTAGGTTGAACGGACAAAAAAGCATAAGAGAGAGTGTTTGAAACTAGACCATATTTGCGGCTTTCCTCGTTAAAAAGTCCCCATTCTTAAAGGAAAGCTTATAACCAAATGGTGACGTATTTTAACGTATTCATTCACTTTCAGTACAATATTAACCAAATAAATCAATGAAGCTTTGTTTTTCAGACAGAGCTCAAATTTTGAATATTCAGATTCTTGAAAATTTTTAAGAATATCCAAAAGAGATTCAAGGTTATCTAATGAAATTTGTTTTCTCTATTCATTATGCTATTCTTTCCACAAATCTTGCCTATGCTGCAACAGAAAATAAAACCTATAAACCCTTGCAACAAATAAAGAAGCAGATAATTTTTTTTATATATTATATCAGTTTTTGCACCCAGACCCTTTTTCATGAAATAATTAAGACTACATCGATCTGTTGAAAACGTCGGAAGGTATACTGAGTTCGGGCACCACTTGCAGAGTTATTTTTAAGCAGAAGATGTGAAAAATGTGCAATGCCCTCGCCGGGACTCAAACCTGGACCCCTCGAATACGCGCTGAGTGTGCTACCGATACATTACGAAAACATGTTGACAGAAGGGAGAACTTTTATAATGTAATATAATGTATTGTAATATAATATAAATAAAGTTTAATATATTCAACCCCGAAACTCTGAGTGATTCCGAGTTTGTGTAATTCTCTGATGTATTTTAAGCGAAAACAGGTATGTATGTATATGTGGAGATGTTGTTCTCCTCATATACACAACTCGGTAGTCAAACTACCTGAGAAAAATCAGGTAATCAAATTACCTACTGTTAACTGAAACTCTTGTTATGGCGGCTTAATTGTTATTCTCTCTAACCAAGTAAAATATGACTTATTAATCTGTATACACCTTTTTAATTTTTTCTTAACTAACTATAACACAAAAGTTAATTTTGTTATCATTTTACATCAGTTTACCCTAGTTACAAATTATTATTTAAAGTCAATAAAGCGTCATAACTTAATTTTAGTTAAAGAAGAATAAATTGTGAGTTTTTGGTATATAAAAAAATAAAAACAAAAACATGGGTTTAGTTTTAGGGTCTATGTAAATAAAAAAGGAATTTTATTGTGTCATTTTAATCTGAAAATAAATTAGCTACGCAAACAGAAAATAATTTTGTCGAAAAACGTGTGTGAATTGTATATCGTTTTGGGGAATTAAAAAATGTTTTATTTTTTAAGATTCTATAACTTTGCTGAAATAAAATAAAATTCCGACCGTAAATAGGTAATTAATTGACATAAAAAAGTTAGCCGAACTATCCTGATTATCTGAAAGTGTTGTGATGCCAGTTAGTCCAAACAATTAAGGCTCTTCTCTGCTACTTTTCTGATGAAAGTGCATTATTCTGCATTGAGGTTAAATGTTACTCACTTTCCTAAATGTTAGGTTACAAATAACAATTGCATTATACAGATGTAAGAATTTAAGACATTTCTTATATCTGCTTTTGTGGTGTAATGGAGAATACATGAATTCAAAAGCTGGCTCACTGGTGGCCAAGTAAATAAGGCTGCTGGTTCGGATCCCAGGGAATGGACTCACTGCATGGTTGTTTTGTCTGTTTTCTCGAGTAAATTTAAGAGGCAATTTATTTTACTAAGTTCTCCAAGAAAGCATTCCTTCCCTTAGACCAGTGGTATTCTAACTATGAGTCGCGACTCTTTAGTGGAGTCGCAAGGTAGATAAAAGTACTAAAAAATCTGAATTGATGATATATATAACTGAAGGTCGAAGCTCTGATTGGGGTTGCAAAATTGGTTTTTCGGGTTGTTAGCATTTTATGGATCGCATTGCCATAACGTTCGAATGCCACTGACTTGGACAGATAGCCCTCGTGTGCTTTTCCATTCTTAGTTAAAACTAATGCGTCCCAATTTCGAGTTCGAGCAAGGAACTGTATATTCCGTTATAGTATCTTAGTTTCAAGCTCATCTTATTTCCCTCTACTGCCGGTGTTTGGTGGTAAGTTCAACAATTAACAATTATTAAAAGGCTTGGCTTGAATTTAGATTGAATTATAGATTTATAGCTACCTGGGAAAACTTGATTTTTGCACAAATAAATAAGGACGCAAAATAAATAAGATTTGGACTTTTTACACTTTCATATGCGCTTGTAGAATTTTTTCACTTTCATATGCACTTGTAGAATTTTTTACACATGGACATTTTCATGCAAAGCTGAAATTTTTCGTCGTGTGGGTTTTTGCATCTATTGCCACAAAAACAACAATAAAAATACATACACAGAAAAACATTGGCGCTATGACAACGCCACCTATAGGTTCCTTTCCTGTTCCTCCGCTCTGCTGAACTCTCTAGTTAAAGATTAATAGTTAGGAAGAGGACAGCATTTAAAAACTAGACGCCGATAACGTCCTCTCAAAGGTTTTACTTTAACAACCCGAACGACTCTGTTTTTTCCAAGAAAAACTTCTGTGATTCATCCAAGATTCCAATTCAAAGGAGGAAGCGAATCCTCGTTGTGATACACCAAGTCATTTACTTGAATAATCTTCGCACGCAAAGTCCACTTTCTCATAGTTACAGTTGATTCAGATATTCTTTCGGCCATCTTGATCAGAATTGATTACGAAGTTGCTGAATCAGATGCCACCTTCACTTTAAGCAAAACAATTTTGCTGTAGTTTTCTTAAATAACATCATAGGAGCATCTATTAAAAATATCCTGGAGTAATAGATTCTATGTCTTCAGAATCTGAAAAAGAGGAGTCTGTGGCCTGGACTGTTTCAATCTGTGTTACGAGAGTGATAAGTTACGCAGAAGTTAAGACAGCCGATATGCAAACTATGAATAAATATTGCTTTGCATCCTTGATTCCAGCCTCCCACAATCCTACGGCGAAAGGTGAGATAAAATACCATACAATTCCTAAGTTGCAAAATTTTGAATTTTAGGAGAAATGCGAAACACTGATTGCTTATTTATTTAGTTTCCTGTTCCTCAAAAATTCTTTGAGTTATCGTAATACAAATTTACTGGCTTTTCGTGTCTGGCTATAAACCATCTTAAAGCCTCTCGAAAGGCATCTGTTGATAAATATGAAGCAACCTCGGGGTGAATTGCTTTAATGACGAAACAAATAAAAAGAGCAATGTCTAATTTTAATTTTTACGCTGCTGCGTGTCAGATAAGGTTTTGTCATAAATGGTCCATAAGAGTCAAGTCCAACGTTAAAAGTGCACTGTCGACGCTAAATCTACTAGAAGGCAAGCCTGCTATGATGGTACTATCTGGTTGCGGCTTGAATCGAAATAAAAAAAAATCATTTAGATAGAATTCACTGCCCCTCTTCCAGAAGGTATCCAATAGTTTTGACGGCTACAGCATAAAGTAAGTTGAGGGCCACTATGTAAATGAATTTTATGATAATATTGTACCAATAATGTGGTGAAATGATGCTTTTTTGCTACAAGAATTTGATATTTTTGATTTTAATCTGAGTTTGTTAATCGTGCTCCTACTCTAATAATCCCGTCTAATAATCTCCTACCTTAATAATAATAAATATTCATTGGAATCAGTTTGCTGTCTTGAGGCAAGGGAAGTCTCGTTTTTAAATAGTCGTTCTCAAGCTTGAATTATGATTTTCGAATGAACTTAACAATAGATTTAGTTGCTTCTTTAAGCTTTCCAGTGAGTGCGATTCAGTGAGTTCTAAATTTAAAAAGACTACTGAAAAATTCATTTTGAAGTTTTGGACCAGTATGGAGAATATTATTTAAAGAAACTCTTGACTCAGACTTTGTAAAACTGTCAAACAAAATCCGTAATTTTACTTTTATCTGTAAAAAAAAAAAAAAAAAAAAAAAAAAAAAAAAAAAAAAAAAACTCTGAAAATGATTTTTAAAAATCGACATTTGGAACAATCTGCATATGATTCATAGTTTGATATACTCACATGAAGTTTATATATTGAGTTTTAAGTTCTGGATTCTCTTGAAGGTTTCTTGCCAAGGAAAAGAATAGTCTCTTCGTTTGGTTTCATGAATCACCTAAGACAGCTTTATTCTTAAATGGGATATCGACAACAAATTTACTATCAGAATTTCGACTAGTGTGATTTAAATACAGGATGCTTAGACATCCTGCTCTTCTTCATTCAATATACTCATATCTGGAAATGACTCGACTTTCTAGAATTTATTTATTAAATTTTCTAGAATTTATTTATTAAATGTCTACTAAAGGATGACAATTGATTAAAGAATTCTGAATTCGATTTCAAACGGATACCCTTCCTGAGAGGAGCCAACCCAATTTTGAATTTAGAGCTGACGGTTGGTTTTGATTTCCCACTATCTTTCCAGTTTGAATTAAATCTAAATATAACTGCACCCAGAATAATGACAATTTATTTCTTTATGTGAAAAGAAGGGTTCGCCAATTGCAGTCCTTTTAGATGTGGCCAACGAAATTCTGTAATGTCAAAATCTGGTAAGTTTGACGTCAGCTGTTTGATAGCTACAATATTAGCAAAGAAGTTATCTTTATTAAAATGAGGAGTAAAGCTTAAATTAACTTCTTTCGTAGCACGTGTGACAACTCTGTCATTAAGTCCTAGAATAGTGTGTTTAGAATTTTGAAATGAAAGATTTAGTAGATTACAACACAATTCAGTGATTAAAGATGTTTGAGAACCATTATCAATTAAAGCTGGGCATTAAAGAAACTGAGCTTGACTGTTTTGTACTCTTATAACAGCAGTTGCAAGGAAAATTAAATTAGAATTCTTTGCATTCCCTGTGAAGCAAAACTGCTACTCTTCCGAGGTGCTAGCTAAAGTCTGACATAAAGTTTGGTTTGGGGATAGGGTAGACTGTTAATGATATTCAGCTGAATGTTTTTTATCAGTTCGAAATGCGTGAAGAATTGTGGGATGTTTTTGTTTACAACATGCCCTGCAACAAGTAGTAAATGGGCATGAGGAAACACTATGAATTTGTCTCAGACATTTAAAACACAGGTTTGCTTTGCGAAGTTCTCTTCATCAGTATTCATTTTAAGAAATTTCTCACATTTATGTAAATGGTGTGATGATTGCAAAAATACGCAATAATCCTGCTTGAATTTTACACTTGTTTTAAGAGCGAAAGATTTGCTAATAGAGTTTGCTGATCTATCTTGATTATTATAATTTTCTTTTACACTCTGAAGACTTCTAGCTTGTTTTTCTGAAAACGAAAGAAAAGTTTTTAAAGATAAAAATTCTTATCCTCTAGCTTTAATTCCCATTTGATTTTAAGTGTATCTTCTAGCTTATTTTGTAACTCATGTATCAGTCGACTAAGTGCTTACATTCTAGACCAAGTGTTTTAAAATTCTAAATTACTTCACTGCAGGTATCTATCATCATTCTAATGGAATCAGATGATGCTTTTATAAATTTTAGATTAAATAAATTTCTACACTGAGAAAAATCCTAATTCTCTTTGATTACCGTATCTATTGATTAAAGCGCCTCACACATGTTTATAATTCTAAGAGGTTATTTGCAAATCCTCTAATAAGTCTCGCATCATCAGATGAAATTGCAGTTTGAAGATATCGCAATTTCTGAATATCTGTGAGATATTCATTAGAATCAACCGAATATAAGAAAATATAGATATAAAACTCAACCAGGACTCAAACTGGCCTGAAAGCGCTGAAAGATCATACTTTGGAAGCTTTACATTCACATAGGATGTGGCAGATTTTAACGTTTCACCATCAGTGAGGTGGGAGTTTTTGTTAATCAAAATTAGATATATTTCTGTTCTCGCTAATGAGTCATCTGCCAAACCCTGAGACTAGAAATCAAAAATAGAACATCCATAGGAATATCTTTCAAGCTTGTCACGACATCTTTGTAGATTTGATTTTAATGCAACAATTTTCCCTAAATTTTCTGATGCTAAAATATCGTCAAACATTCCAGAAAATCTTCCAATTTACTTGATTTGAGTTCGATTTTTAACGGAATTGATGATTTCTTTTTTGATATCTTGTTTACTCTAAAGAATAAAATTAATTCCGTGCAGATGTCGTGCAAACTTCAAAAATATATTTAAAGTGTATAATAGAAACTAGAATCTGAGAATAAATTTTACATGAAAACAATCTGAATACAAATAAAATTTCCTTAAATAGGTTTTCATTTATAACATAAAAATACGTATTTTGGTTTATTTATAAACCAAGTAACTCTAATAGAATACTAGGCTTGGACTTTCGGTTTTCGGTTACCAGTAATCCTTACTGGTGGCTCCATGTTTGGCGGTAAGTAAAACAATTAATAATTATTAAAAGGCTTACCTTGAAGATCCACTGAATCATAGATTTATAGCTACCTTGAAACACTTGGCTTTGACACAAATAAATAAGGACGCAAAATAAATAACACTTGGACTTTTATGAGCACTAGTAGAAGTTTTTGAATGTTGAATTCTTGCGTCGTTTGGTTTTTTACATCTGTTGCCCCAAAAACAAAATTAAAAATACATGCGCAGAAAAAAATTTGGAGCGGGAACAGCGCCACCTGTAGAGAAGGATGAAATAACGCAAAACATTTTGAAACTTAACAGCCGGACCGCAAAATAAACCTGGTTTATCACTGAAGTAAGGCTGGTCGATTGGGTGTATTCAGGCTTCTCTGTAGTCATTTTCAAATGGAATGTAAGGAATCAAGGTGTTCTTTTCATATGCGGTTATGGTTACAAAATCTGTCCACCATGGACTCTACTTCCCAATGGTACTTAGCCCCGAGCTAACCTTCTTACTCTGTTCATATAAATTACAACATTTTCTAGAGCAAAGAGTTCATTGTCTCCCCTCCCCACATTTTCTTTTTCATAGCTCGATAACTAATCCATTCCAGCATTTTATACTTTACATTCATATAAAGATCACATGAGATAGTGTAAATTTAACTTAAAAAAGAGCAATATGAAGGAACAAATTTTGCATACGATATTCCAATTAAGACATTCAGAAAATCGCAATTTAAAAATAAACTGACGCTTTTAGAAATCTGGGTGATTCTGCTTTTATGACTATTTTAAGTAAAGTGTTAAGTCAAAACTTTTAAAGAAGTCTTATCTTTGTCTTTTAATATTAAAGTGCTATCTTTGTTTCGAGTAAAAATGGTTGCTGACAATGCAGTGGAAATTGATATTCTTATTATATAAAGCTGTAAATAAAAGACTTCTCATATCTAGGTAAATTAGAGGATACTTACCACTAACACTAAGCTGAGATGTACTGTTACTTCTTTTAGCGGAGAGACCTCCGAATTTCGGAATTTTTCCGCCTATGATTATTCTTTGTTGACCTTGTTTGGCACCTTTCTCGCCTGAACTACTTATAGCTGTATCAGAAAGGCTTCCGTTTGCTTTTTCATTGGCAGCACCATCGCTGCTACTTCTGTTTAAAGACCCACGGGATGGCCTAGGGGGATGGACAGGGCCATATCCTGGTGTGGGGGATGTGAATTCTCTGCAAAGAAATGTATGCATATTAGAAATGATAGTAGTAAGGAAGTTAAGTCTTCTGATTGATTAGTATCACTGCAAAGATTTTCCTATAAATAAATATGCGATTTTAGTAGGAATAATTACTAAGTGTCACCTGATAAAATGCTTGTGCAATCATAACTTTTTTACAATTAGGACCATTGGGAAAGCTATACAAATATTTCTAGAAAAGATTAATTTTTTAAATTCATTTATAACTAATGAGGTTTATCCCTCTTCTCTGAGTAAATAAATAAAATTGCAGTTGATTTGTATAAACAGTTTACTAAAAGCAGTCATATACTTGCAGAATTGACAGTTTTCCATGAAAATTTCGTCATTGCTACTCCGATTTTTCTTTTTATATAAATATGATTTTATTGATGATAGTTTTCAAATCATTCATAAAACGGCCATATGTACATTTTAACTGTTATTGGGAAAGAAAGTAAAGAAAAAAATACTTTCCGAAATCAGTTATATTCTCAGTTCAATGAGCTTTGTTTTAAATAAATAAATAAGCAAAAATTACAGAGGATAACTTATCAACAAGAAAAGTAATGTCGTTGTTTAAGTAAGAAACTTTCCTCAGTGAATGAAATAAGATCGTTTAAGAAATGATACTGAAAATAAAATTCCCATTTCGATTGTCTCTCCACGAAAATATAAATTAATTCAAAATTATACACAGATGTATTTTTTGGATGCAGACCTGACAGAAAGATAATCAAAAGGCAAATCATACACAATAAACTATTTTGAAAGTAATCAGTATTACTAATAAAATTTAAATAAAATTTTTGAAAGTAATCAATATTAGTTTTAGATGAATATCATAAAAACGTAGTTTCTACGCAAGACAAATACCTAAAAGAATATCAGTAATGCAAAAATTCTTTTTTCTTCACAAATATTATAGTTACGTTGCTACTGTTAAGCATACAAAAGTGAGAGCTCAGATATATACTAAACTGTGACAGTATTGTTATGGGAGAAAGAAAAATTAATACAATAACTGATTTTAGAAGCGTATTAACTTTCTTTTCAGGGAAACTAAAATTGTTCATATGATGAAAACGACTTTAAAAATGCATCTCAAGAGTTACGCTTAACTTTATATATAGACATGATTATTCTTGAAAAACGAACATTCTAAACATAGTTGCAGCTTGCAGTTTCATCAATATACCTTTTTCTAGAAGTGATATCTTAAAAAATATTAAACATGTTTCAGTGAAAAGAATTCTACCTTTGATTTCCCGCAGAGCTTTACATTTTTTCTTTTTTCTTTTGTTTATTTTTTTTTTACTTCCTTTCTTTTTAAAATAAATGCTTTTGAAGATAAAAAATGCTCTCTAAAATAATCAAAATTGCTTGGTAAGAAGCCAAATACTTTTCGTGAAATGAGAGTATTTTAAAAACTTGCAATGAAAAAATAATTTTAAAGTAAAAAAAATAATAATAAAAAATAAAAAAATGCCTTTTTTAGAAACCACACAACCAATCTTTAAGTATGTAATTAATTAATGATGTGTGACCTAGGAAACGGATTATAATTTAATAGTTAATTTCCAGCAATTGATACGCAAGATATATGGATGGAGAAATGGAAATATTACAATAGTTTTCAAATGGACTGACTACAGGTTTTTTTTGCGAATTTAATTTAGCGCCGCAAAAGTTAATGTATTAAAATGTCTTCGAATAGAAATATTATGCAACTATATATTTTAGCTATCTCCTAACAATACAATGAAGATTAAGTTTTAATCAGAAACTGATCACAGATTAAACTTCACTTTCCCTTACTTAGGTAACAAATATAAAATTTGAAAATGACAAAAAAGATTTCAGAGAATTCTTGAAACGTAAAAGTTATCCTATGATATTAGCCATAAACTTCTAGCCAGTTCTTAAACGTTTTTAGTCTATGTCCTGCTGTTTCTGATTTGAAATGCACAAAGTGCAGTTTAAAAGAAGAGTGTTAATTAGTTAACACAGCCAAAAGGTAAGGGACAGATATAATCAGTATACATAAGTGATAATTGCTTGCATTAATTCACATTGAAGATAATTACTGTTATGTTTATGCTACTCCTCCTTTTCGCTGCCGGTCTGAGTATCTTTTGACTGAAGACACGGACAGGTATTTCACGTGGCAAGTGAAAATTTCTGAATTTATAGTTAGTACTTGTTAGTTAATACCAGGTGCTTAAGTCAAGTATGTTTGAATTGTTGAACATTAAGCTGAATTGTTTGTAAGTTGTAGATTTGACCTGTGAGGAGTAACTTAAAAGCTGTGGTAATAAAGATTTAATTTCGTTATTATTCAAGTCTGAGTTGTATTTCATATAGTTATTAAGCAATAACTCGCGTCTTGACATGTAGTCTCACTAAACCGGCTGTTAAATAAGAGTACACCTAACAAGGTAATTTAAACTAGAAGGATATTTTTTATAACTTTCTGAGTATCGTACATGGAATAGCAGTTTGCATTATAAAAGAAGATTCAGAAGCACGAAAAACAATTTTAGAATATGCTTAAAGCTATAAAAAATGCCTCATACTTCAATGTCCTGCTGCCCCTAGGATGCTCTGACTGAGAAGAAAAGGCACTGGTGACGCTGTATTTAGAAACTGAACTGGTTTCAGATCCATCACTCTCAAGAGCAGGGACTGCATTTACGTCCTTCTCCATGCCTTCCGTTGTACCAGCAGAGGTAGCAGAGCCTCTTGGTCTGCTGTTGGAGGGACCCCCTTGTTGATGAGGAGGCATTCGAGAACTCCTGGGAGGAGGATGGGGATGGACATTGAACTGTTTGTCCATACTGTGGCGAGGAGACACTTCGCTGTCAGACACTATCATTGTCGACACGCCTGAAAATATAATATGTAGTTTTCTAGACTTTTGTTATTCAAACATTAAAAGTCCAAAAATACTTTAAAAGATAGCGTTTTGATTCCAGTTTTATATGCTGCTATTTACATTTGTAAAATAAATCCAGGCAGTGGTATTAAATGCTATTAAAAATAAATGCGATAGCCTTTTTTCTTTGGTTAATCTATAGTTGTTGTTTCTTTCCGCTTTTATCAAATGAGAAAATATATTTTTTCGATGATATTTTTCCATGAAGATGCAGCGGAGCGTTGATTGTACATTGTTTACAAATTTTTGACACCCCGAAATACTCCAGTTCCAATATAATGCTAAATAATTTCAGTTACACACTGCTGAGCCTAAATTTTATTTTTCCATGAAGATGCAGCGAAGTGTTGATTGTACATTATTTACAAATTATTGACTCCCCAAAATGCTCCAGTTCCAATATAATGCTAAATAATTTCAGCTACACACTGCTGAGCTTAAATTTTATTCATACGTATTTTTCCTACCTGGTAGAACGAGAAAAATAAATTTTTCTAGATATTAGCCGTTATTTCCTGAAATAAATTAAGAAGTGTTCTCTCTTTCTTCAACATTAACTCTTGAACAAAGTATAATATATCACAGGAAATTTGTTTGACACGAATTGGTGAACATTCCATCTCGTCTTTAATTAGGAAAAGAACTGAAGCTTTTAACCTAGATATCGACCTCGTTTCAGATCAATCTCTGGATATTTCTAGATTAAAATATACGCAGATAAAGGATTTGAGATAAGTTCGTTGACAAAAGAGCTTTACGCGGATTCGCGTTTATCGCTGTTTGCGTCGTAATACTCGTATTATGACTAAAATTGTTTGCACCGAGTCATTAAAATAAATAAAGAAAAAGAAGACAATGGGCCTTATTAAATTTAAAATTCCAGCACCATTCGGCTAGAGGGCGTTGTCTGTGCTCCTATGATCAGTGGCAGAAAAGATGGTAACTGTGTAAGATGTGGAAGACCGAGATAGCATAATAATGAATCCTTAATTATTTTAATTCTTGTTATATTTGTCGTTAATAAATTTTGCTTTGTTGTTCTTGCATCATTAGCCACACTAAATTATCAGATGCATCAGATGCTTATCAACCTTGGATGATCAATGATATGCCAAAGTAATTCTAGTGAAACGTTTCATGAAAAATAAGATAATTTATTCAATTTTACAGAACTTCTGTTTGAGGAAGGATTTTGAATATTTAAGAACGGTAAAAAATTTACAAAACTTACGTTTTAAAAGCAAAGGCGATACGAGAAACAAAACACGCTTTGGGCCACGGATGACCTGCTTTGATAATTCTAATGTTAAAATAAAAAATTCTCATAAGATGCATACCATCAGGTCTCCTCTGCATTCGAAGCTTATACTGTCTGGCACGTTCTTCTAAATCGAGCGTCATCTGGTCTCTAGTGATCCTTTCTGGAGGAATCTGCGGAAGCTTTCTTTTCTTAGATGAGGGGGTACCAGAAGGTTGTCGCGCTGGCGCCTCGCTGTTAAGAGAAAACAATACATTTAATAAATATATGAATTTTTTAGAAATGTACATTAAGCCTCTGCCTGTTTTCAGACTACAAACTAACATTTAGGGATATTTGTTACAAATTCATATGAAGACCAAAAGAATATTATATGATTATAGGAGAAAACATATCAAGCAAACTACAATCGTAAAAGCCACTGCTTTTAGCCTTATACATATTTTCAAATCTCATACCTTTTCATTCGGATTGCAATTCTAAGCTTCTCTGCAAACTCTTAAAACACATAGTATTTATTTTAAAAGCATTATTAGGGTATTATTTGCTACAAAATTCGCACTGTTTCTTCAGTTTAAGTTTGTTTATGCTTTCAGAAAGGATGGGTATTTTCAATATATATATGTGTGTATGCACACACACATGCAAAGGTAATTTTTTTTCTTCTAAAATATTAGCTATTGAAAGGTATATTTACCAATAATATCGCATACTACGCTTATAATTAAAAAAACACGGTTATTGAAATTCCATATCATATCCTTAAAAATCTCACAGTATGACAACAAATCATCACATTTATTCATTCAAAAATTTTTAACTCATAGGTAAGATGCAGGGTGCATACAGACCCTTTGAATATGGTGAAAATAATTCATTCGGAAATCAGTTAGAAAAAGTTTAAGAAAAATTTGTATTTGAATTTTAATCTGATTCTGCCGCAATACTAGATTTTTCTGGACTTTATCAGCACATACTATTGTCTTCCAATTACATTAATAATTTACGAATATAATCAGTATTTTCCAAATGCTACAGTAAATATTGCATACAGTAGTAAGGCATTTTGGATATCGTCAGGTAATTTGTTACAGATTTTTACGTTGTAACAGAAATTTTTAAATAACAAGGTTGTTATAAGCAGCACGATGTAAAAATTTTACTCCGCCGTGAAGATTACTCTTAACTCAGAAAATGTTCTTATAGGAGGCTGAATCTTTCCAAAGAATCCCAAAACAAGCCTTCAAGTTATAGATGGGATAGACTAACTCATATTCTGAATGTTGTTCATTTTGTAGGAAGTTATCCCATGCTGCTCTTTGTTATAACCAATGTTTTCATTAATTTAGTGGAACATAAACGTCACACTGAATGCTTCTCAAAACGTCCTTAAGAAATGTTCTGAGTTTCGGGTAAAGATAACATATGCGGCCGCGTCGAAACTTTAGCAAAATATTAAATCAAAGGACACAAAAGAATAGTCCAAATGAGTTTAAAATTAGTTGGCATTACTGTTTGCACTTAAAATTATTGCGCTATTGTTTTCACAGAAACGCGGATCACAGGTACTGGTTCTAGTTTGTCATCTGATAACACTAATTAATCATCTTTAATTAGTTCAGAAATTAAAGTTGTATTCTTACTTTTGGTCAGGTGGAGATCCTGACCTAACACCGCCCTCAATCAACCTCCTGGCAGGGGATCGAGATCGAGTCATTGATCCTTCCTTTGGCATCACTGACCTCGATCTCACCCGGTTGGGCATTCTGGAAGAAAATTCTAATCCTGGAAGGGGTTCTCTTCTTTCCATTCTCTCGTAAGAGTATAGATCTCTTGGATGAACTGTGAAAAAATACATCTGTTAATATGTTTGATACCATAAATACTAATGGACATTTCATAGATTGAATGTAACAACAACAACAAAATGGTATACTGATAAGCCTTAAAAATTGCAGTTAATGTGTTAAACAATTTAAAATCAGCTATATTTATTACTGCGTTGCCATTGATTTCAAAGTTAATATTAGGCGCTGCGAATATTTTTTACAGTAGGGAAAACTTATTTTACGAATGTAAAATAATGCCAAAGATGCTAAAGCTATTAACTGAAAAAACAGTACGTTAAATACATAAAAACTGATGGGTACTGAAGACTACAATTAGTATCATTAAGGAAAACTGATAGTTACTGAAGAATGTGTAGAGCTTCAAGGAAATATTAATTCACCAGTGAAAGATCTTTTATAAATTTTACCAGCTCAGATGTTGAAAGAACTATCGCGCAAAATACCATTCGTGACAAGCAAAGAATGCAGCAATGTTTTTCATTTCGGGAATAACGTTCATATTTTTAACACAAAATTTTAAAAACTCCCAATTTTGACTTACGTATAGAAAAAAAACTCTAGCAAGAATTTTTTAAGTTTTCGAGAATCACATGTTTTAGAATCTTATAAAAAATTAAATATTATACGCTGACGAAGTAATTTGAGAGTTGAACCTAGCGAATATATTTAATTATTAAACTAAGAGGAAGGATGAAACTAATATCATTTACGTTATTAGGAATGGTTTTACGTAAATAGACTACCATACTGTGTAATTATTTAGATAATCATCTATTATGACACGTATAAAAATTTATAAACTCGGAAGCTAATAATATGATGTGCGGAGAGTGAAAAACCAATAAGTCATAAACACATTAATGTGGAAATTTAAAGATTAACTTAATAAATAATCATTAATACATAATAAGCAACTGAAAATTTTTGTAAAAGTGAGTGTTCGTACTAATTTGAGAGTAACGAATCTAGAAAATGCCTGTACATATATTAAAGCTCTGAAAAATACAAATAAGAAAAAGGCGCGGGGAGGAAGTACAAGTGAGTATTAGAACTCGAAATTTTATTATTTAGATAATTTCTCTTACTGAGTGATAGTTCGGAATTTCATAAATTCTTTCTGGGGGGGGGATCAATAAGTTGAACTTAAAATATCGTTCATCAGCTCAGAATTAGTAAGCTTATACACATGAACTCGAATATATTAAGATGCGACTTGTAACATGCTTCCGGTAGCCGAGGAACTCAAACTGGCCTTCTTAAAAGAATGAGTGTAAATTTTACAAGATTTAATTGATGATTGATTCCATGGAAATGTCTACATGCAAACACATGAGGATCATGTACTATAATAACTTTTTATCCGGTAAAATGAAAATATCATGATTTGGGATTTTATAATCATGTATATGTATTTCTTCGCCAAGTTTTTAGTATCAATCATTTTAATGTTCTTGGGTAAAGAGCGTATTATGTCTTGACTCAATTATATAAAACTGCACAATGTTCCTTCACATACATAACATTATGATATTAAATTTTATAAATTATATCGTATTTTTGCATACCAATGCAATAATATTCAAGAGCAATGCTGTGAATAACAAATACTGACTTGCTAGGCAAGAGTAAAAAAACATATTTTCTGTGATGGAATGATAAAGTCCTGCTAACAGGAAAAAAATAAAATATGTTTTCCGATATTCTTTGATTACTAAAATTAAATCCGCCATACTTTATTTCCTGGGAATTAAAGGACTCAAATTAAGACAGGGACTGAATAGTGCGATCAGTAGAGTTCATAGTTTGTAAGACACACTTGTTTAATAATTACTATCGTCGAACATAAGTATTAGCTACGACAAATCTTCCCATTTCTAGTCAAGCTTACAGTAAAGTGTGTTAAAATTTCTCCAAACTGATTACCCTCTTTTTTTGTTTGGAGCTTTTTAATTATGTGCCATTTTTACGGAAAAAGGATGATTTAACTAAAAGCTTATTGATGATGAAATCTATTTGACATAAACATTCAATTGTTTATGAATTCTTTGTGTGATTGTCACAGTTTATTTATACCATGAATGCTTTGAAATTAGAGTTAAAATTATAAATTGTAAGTAAGGGGTTAAGAGAAGGAAGGAAAAACCTGATGAATAGATGAAAAACTGAATTAATGAACTAGATCCGCAGCTCATGTTATTTATTATGACATAACTACATTTCTAATTTATTTAATTTTATTCTATCTTCTTGTACTTTCCTTATTTTCATAATTATTTTATATACATAACTACCTGTGCTAGAGCGCCTCCTGTCATCTGGCCATAAATCCCTTCTTGACCTTCTCTCTCCAACTCCAATGATGTCTTCCCCAACTAAAGTGGGACTACTTCCTACGGAACTAATACTACTGCCACCATCAACAGGAGGAATTCGATTTTCTGCGAAATAAAAACCAATTTAATAGTAATAATAATAGTAACACGTGAAATGGAATATACAAAATAATTGACATTTGTTTTGTAGTAATAATGGATAAAATTAAAAATAAACTTCATTTGAGGTCAAAACCGAATTTGATATTAAATCTGAAACATGTTCGTCAAACGAAACTTAGATTTACATCTACAAATGTCGTAATTTTTATGGTTTATGTTAATTAACCCGCTTTTATTATGATATGGCTCTGTATACTGAATCTCCTTTAGTTCACTCTCACCAGAGTGCAAAAGAGTAAGCATACTTACGGAGGAGTTCTTGAAACTTATTTTCGGAGATTTTACTTAAGGGATAGGCTAGTTTTAGATTCAAAGCTTTTGGCAGAGATGGCTGCAGTTTGTAATTTCTCTCGTTCAGTTCTGCTAAGTGAGCAGTTCGGCATTAGCCATTTTGCTAGCCGAACTTAAATCGCACAACTAAAATTTCGAATCAAAGCTTAGTTAGGCCAGTTATTGTAGTCTCCCTTTACGAATCCACTTTAATTTGTAAATTCAATTTTCTGTTGTTTAATACCCGCAAATGGGTGCGTTTGATTTGCACACTCAAGTTGTGCAATGGTTAAGTTCAAATTGTAAATAAAAGGGTTATTTTAAAACCTTCTTGGGATTTTGTAGAGCTTTCACAGACGGAGCGGTAACTCGCTTGTTAGTCTAAGTAGGGTTTTAAGAACTTTCAAAAACTTTATGTTAGATTTGTGCAGGATAGACCCTAGAAATTGACAAAGTTTAAAATTGTTATCGCTAATATCAGTTTCATGATTTACTGTTTTATAAGAGCAAATAAATTTCTTTGCATTAGGCCGTTTGACAGAAAATTCACCACTAAGAAATTCATTTTCAGACTTACACTGGAATTAAAAACAAATAATATTTTACTTAGCATATACTACTTCAAAAGCATTGCTAGTGTTTCATTGTCTATAATTTCACATATACATATGAAGATGAAATGTTAATTTTATAAGACAATTAGGAAGTTAATTAGAAAATTCTCCGTTTTTTATTTTATCTGTTTTAATGTGTATCATGCCAAAAATATTCTGCAAATTTTTGTTCGTATTTTATAATTAGCAGTCCCTTTGAAGAACAACCACCTGGAGAGATTAAGCTTCAAACTAAGCAACATACATTTCTATATATCTAATGCATCCAAATTTAGTTAATGGTGCCAGTTTTATTCTTGTTTTAGCTTCAAGGTTTACCCCACGTGTAACCTGAAGTTCAAATCATTTTTCTTTAAAATTCTCCACGAAACTTCCCTCCTGCAGATGATAATAGTAGAGTGTTTGTGAGATTTATTTTAATTAATACTTTATTTAGTATGCGGAGCTTTTCTCCACTCCTATTGTTCCGTCTGCTCGACTAGAAAATGCATGCTAAGTGAGTTTAAGTAACGAGCCCGAATCTTAAGTACAGAAAAAGAGCTTTGGCAACCTAGGCCCCGAGCGCGGTGATCTTGTTCCTTCTTTACTGGTGTACTGATTGTTGGTGAGTTATTTTGTCACTTATGGTTTACGGGAGAAAGCGCTTTAGCTCGCAAGCCAAGCTCCTATTCTTTAATATTTTGATCTGTAAAAAATATGTGTTATCAGGCAGCGAAAGTTTAGTTTTATCGTCATCATCATATCTGGAATATCTTGATAATAATACAAATGGAACAGCCCAAATGAAGTTGATGATGACGAGATAAAAGTTTAGTTTTATCGTCATCATCATATCTGGAACATCTTGATAATAAATACAAATGGAGCAACCCAAAAACATAAGAAAATTTCATTGAATCGTGAAAGCACCATTTTATTCTATGATTTTTTCCCATTTGAATGGTAATTGGAAAACTCCTTTTTTAAAAAAAGTCGTTAGGTTTATTCATAAAGCAGTTATCGAGGTGTTGCTTAACAGTGTCCAGAGAAATGAACTCGAGAGCTTTCAGAGAATTATATTATACAGAATTTTAATCAATTTCTGACCAACGATTTTGGACCTCATGACGTGTATAAAGTTATTTTGCACATTTTACACAAGCAAACATTGTAGTGGGTTTATTCGATTTGGTAATTCGTTTGATAAGAAAAACAGAAAGGTATGGATAAAACTATAGTCAATTGCACTAGAAAATATATATTTGGGACACTTTAAACCATAAAATAAGTAACAGACGAATTAATAAAAACTAAAATTATAATTAAAATTTTTATTAAATTAAAATTTTGTGTGATTGGCAAAAGGAGACGAAATTTAATAACCAAATAGGTGAATAAGACAACAGTTGAATTTGATCGGAAATATTCATATATTTAGTGCTAGTTTAAAGCTGTAAGCATTTAATCCTCCATTCTCAAAACAATAAATCAGTTTGACTTTTATATTTGGAGAACTTTAATAAACTCCATAAATCTAACGCTTTACTCTTATGAAATATTGCATATTGGGAGCTTTAGCAAAGTTCTGAAAATTATTCCTACCTCTTCTAGTAACAGGAATTCCTTCATCATAATCCAGCTCAGAAATATCACTGTCGGATAAACGAGATACGGAAATGGAGGAAGGGGGAGAAAGACGATCTACGGACGTCACTGATCCGGATAATTCGGCTTCCAGAAACATGTTGTTTCGCTGCTGAAGTGAGAGAAAAAAAGTAAATTAGTGCAGCTAATATTACGAAAATTATTACCAAGTCTAACTAACAGTTAAGCTTAATCTGAACTCTGCCCTATCTTCTTTCTGCTTCTTGCCACATATATTCGTTTAGACTAGAAGGTTTTGCAAATTAAGAGAATTCAAAAGAAAATTTAAAAACTAGTTAGATTAACCACAGCTCAAGCTTAATGGAGTGAAAAGCTCCCTTGATGGCTGAAAAGATTTAGCATCAGTGTGTATTTGTTAAGAGCCGAAGTGCTATTGTCATTTGTCGCTCGAGATTGGTAACTTTCATTATAATGGTTATCTGAGGGAAATAATAAGGTGGCCTTGTTTTAGAGAAATTATATTTTTCAACCGTAGTACTCCGAAGGAGGTCACCTAATCGTTAACATTATTTTTGAGAAGGAATCGGCTTTTCTTTTTAATTGTAACATATTAGTTTTAAGTGTGTCTCATTAGGAGTGTACAGCTAAAGATTTGGTTGAATTTTACATCTGTAGTTGTGTGTATGTCGATTATTGCCAGAGCGACAAATAACTCTAAGTGAAGTACCGTATGGTAGGCATACTTTAAAAATCCTTTAAGTGGCATAGTTATAATTTTTTTTCTCAATGGTGGGCACAAGTCCTCATAGACGTTGGCCACTACTAAGGCCGGAAGTAGTTATGAGGGCATCTAAGAGGTGGGTCCCTGTTGCCTTTCACGAAGGGACAGCAAATTTACATCCATGCCAAATTTACATCTATGAGATTGGAGCCCGGACCCTTCGGTACGGCAGTCAGAATCACTAACTACTTTCCCGTCTGGGCGACTCAGAGTAATAACTTAAATTCTTTCTTATAGCTGGAAAAGCGAGAGAAATGAAAAAAAAATTATATCTTTAATAGCCCTTAGTATAAAAATCGTTGTTTTGGATTATATCATATATTATAGATTTTTAATATTTCGTAACTCAGCTGTTTATCGAATTTCATACAAATGTCAGCGTGGTTCATCAACAGGTTTTACTATTGCCTTTTTCGTTGACTATATTTATGTATGTGCGACAGTAGGAGCTGGTAAAAGTAATGCATTCTTGTAAGTTTGAGGACGTTTGTTTTTAATGTTTTTAACTAGTTCAATGAAAAATATCTTACTAATTGAGCTGCTAAACTCTCTTCACGTGTAGTCATCCGGTACCATTCACTTTCGTTGTTCATGTGAGCAGTTGATAAATCAATTAAAACCTGAAAAATGAAAATAAATAATTATTTCTGATATAGAAGTATACCGGTAAATAAGGTATTATGTTAATTGTTTTATTTACAAATTTTGGAACTTAATCATAATTGCAAATTGTGACATTTTAAATTCCACAGATTTTTTTATGGACTTATTTGAAGCTTTTGATGAGCATTTTATTTTTTACTGAAGTGCATAGCCAAAATATATGGTTTACAAAAAATTTTAATTTAATTTCCAAATCGTTTCCAATATGTAAAATTTAAACATCATCGCACAAGTTAACATTTGGGGGGGGGTGAAATTTGAACATTATAGTTAATAATCAATTTTAAAACGTAAATTACACAAAGAACTATTTTGGTACCTTTGTGCAGAAATTTTATCGAAAATTAATATCACAAACATAACATGAATTATATATATATATATATATATTCAAATATATATAAATATATTTGAATTATATATAAATATAATTCAAATAATTTTTTTAGAATAAGCCAAGGGATATTTGAACGATGCTTTCTCTCTCTCTCTATTATATGTATATTTACTACCTGTTTTTGATCATTTATAGAGATTTTCTTTAAAGTTGTCATTTTTCATGGAGGAATGAAAGATTAATTTGCTTCTAGAATTCGATGAGGATCATTAATTTCAAGTAACTTCATCTCGCAATAGAGAAACATTATTTCCATAAGATGTGATGTATTCTGCAACTAGCACGTGCTGTGCATTTCTTTCGACACACGCCGATGTCTGAGATCCACGGTTTTCCTAGCTACGAAACTTTCTTCCTATGTTTAAAAATAATTGACAAGATTACTGCGGAGTGATTGCTTCATTGATATTTCTTTATTCAAGATTTGATAATAATAGTATTTATGCGGATTAGTCAAAAGAGCGACAGGGCTCCATAATTTTCAGTGCATTGCGTCTATATTACAGAACTTTTAAGGACTGTTAGATGTTTGTGGTAATTTTATTTTCCTTTTGGCAGCCTTTTACATGCCGATAATGAATAATTTTAAGTATTTGCTAGCAAATAAAGAATAATACATGAAGGGTAGTTATTTCTCTAATTGGCACTATTTAGTGTAATGATGTTTATTAATCAATAGCTATAAAATTCTATTTTATAGCTATTGATTAATAAACATCATTCTCATCCTACTCTAGCTTTCGGTTACAGTTTATACAAAACAATGTACTACATATTTCAATATAAAAAATGTTTATTAGGCACATACAGTTTAACGTCTTCTTTCTAACATTTGATTCCGTGAAGATAACAGCTTTCTTATAACAAAGACTATGAAGCTTTTTGCAGCCGCGAAATGTGAGCCGAGTGTGTCTTTATCAAGATTCGAACCACGGATTAACCGTTGCAATACGCGTACCACACATTATCAATTTCTTAACTTAATATTCGTTCATTTTAACATTAAAATATGGCTCTTATACTCAACATTTTTCTCCCGTTACTTATATATCATTAGATGCGTATTTTCGCTTATTTGCAAGATACTGGACTCGTGCATTTACGGCAAAGAAGTGTCCGATAAACTTCGAAAATGACAATTTGTCGAAAATCACTTATCGTCCAGTTAGCTCCAAAATGCAACTGCAATACAGCTCAATATATCGTCTATATCTTGTAAGGTATATTTTAATTTTATAACAGTTGTTTTAATTTAAGTGAATCTTTCGTGTTTTATTTCGATTCAGCTTAATCGATCCTACCAGAATGAGATTTTAGAATCTCGTTGAATGCAAATGAGAAAGAGAATGGTATTTCAGTCAAGTTCAACTGACTTCGAAAAAGAGAGTCAGGATTCTCGAGTAGCGCGCTTTTGTCTTTGGGCTACGCCTCTCTAAGCTGCTTTTACGCTCGGTCGTATTATGTGCTTTTTGATAGTTTGCCGGCTAGTTATGATTACTGGCCAGCTACTTTAGAATTGTATTAACTTCGACTAAATCTCTTGGTTAGTCATTAGTTAGTTCTTATTTCTTATTTTTGAATTTAAGCCAAAGTGGAGGCTTTGCGGTACGCCCGAAAAAAGGGGTCGACTGTTAATTTTATTTTGAGTGAATAAAGGATAATTAACTCTTCTTGAGCTTTCTGTTCTTGGAACTAAGCGATTATTCTCTTAGAAATTCCCCAGGTTCCTCGACACTTAATGTAACAGAATATAAGCGAGGAACTCTATTATCTTTTCGAATTTATAAGGAAATTTTATGTAAGTTGCCCTGCATGGCTGACTACCTAATTATGAAAGGGAAAGGCTGATAAATTTGGCACATGCGTAGTTAAAAATCAGTTCTTTTATAAGGCATTTCTCCTGCCTTCTTAGCATGCTTTCGTAGTGTAGTAGTCAGCACGCTGGGCGCGTATTCCAGAGGGTGAGGGCGTTCCTCATTTTTCATGTCTCCAGCTTCCAAAAAATCCTAATGTCTTTACACTTTCAATGCTTATATCTTACTGAATATTCAATGATTTTATATCAAATTTCTTTTTAATGCTTCTTTTTTCATCATTTGGAGCTTTCCTGTTAGAACCGTTAAATTCGGCTGATAACTGTGCATAAAATGAGAAAAACAGAGGTTTTAAAAAAATCTTAATATCTTTGTTAAAAGACGTGTCAGTTTTACGAAAATGCATAGAATACTGCACATAGCATGCAAAATATTTTTTGAAAATTGAAGATTATTTCCTGGTTTTTATGATGCAGTGTGACCAAAAAATGCGTTTTTCGTTATAACTTTGTTTTTGGTCCTCTAAAAGCTCGCGGGACTGAGTACGTTATTTATGGAGCAATTTACAGAGCAATTGGTCAATCACTTCTCTAGAAATTTGAAAAAAAAATGCCTAGTGATTGTTGGATATGTAGTGTAAATCTCATGAAAGATGTTGCCCATTGGTTGAATAAGGCGTTTACGGGCGAATGGGAAATATTACCAACAAAAGCGGTCTTTAACTTAAGAGTAACAATAACTATAAGTGTAGCAGGCTCGGAAATCTTGCATCGAAGAGTTTATATTCTCTGCTGAAGATGATATACTTTGAAAACGCATAATATCTTTGAAAACGTTGCATCCTTTTCACGGCGGTAAATGCTAGAATGGCCATTCTGAATTTTGTTCTGCGTTATTGTGTCGTTGTTATTTTCACCAACATTTGGGCACGTTACTAGAATTCTATGATGGGGTGACCTAAGATAAACCCAAGCAAGTCTCCCATGTCAGGTTCGGTTTATTTTTGGCCATTCGATATAACATTTCCTTACAGTTCATGTGTTCTTCACTTACTTTGGATTCGGTTTATTTTGGGTTACCCTGTGTGTTCTACATGACATTCTGATATGCCGGTCACACTTCTGAGAGTCTAGGTGAAAACCTAGCTGTTCTTGAGTGTTTTTGATATGCTGGTAAGATTGCTTCCGATGTTACAGGTCACAAGATGGAAGAGTGTGCACTTGAAGTACACATAAATAATTATTATTTTGTTTTCAAAATGCAGAAAGCCTGTAGGCAAAACCGCTTAGGCATACATGCAAAATATTGTAAGGATGATTTTTCTCAGCTTCCCTTCAAGCGCAATCTGTGCATTGGGTTTTCTCCTTGACCTGTACTCTCAAATCAGAAGAGTGAAACATCAGCCACAGTTTGAATAATTTACAGCTGTTTTATATCAGATATCATAATAAACGTAGTCATTAAGACCGGCATCTAAACCTGAAAGCATACAGAAATTTAAAAATTTTCTAGTTACGATCAGAAACGTTTCTAAAAGTTTAATTTGAAATTGAATAATAACAGAAGAAATTCAAAGCAGAAATTTTAATTCTAATCTTACTGGGGCAGCATATCTCTGAAAACATTTCGGATATAGTACACCCTTAATTTATATGAAGCTATTTGCAAGCATCATAAAGACGGTAAAGTAACTAAGTTTGTTGTAAGAATTTATCCTAATGAAGCATACACTTGGTTTTGATTTAACCCTCCAATATTTTCTCTCACTCTCTCGTAAAGATGTTTTAAGAAAAGACCGTTGAAATACTGAAAATTTTAATTTATTTAAACGTAAATAGATACAAGATTAGATAGATCGTATCAAAGATTAAGTAGATACGTATCAAGATTTAAGTAGGAGTATTACAAATACAACTTTTCTATATTTTGCGAGAAAAGCTTTTATTTTATTTTTCTTCTGTAATGTACGAGGAAGCATCTTAATTAAAAAATACTGTACGCTCGATTTCCGATTAACTGGAGAAGAATAAACCGAGTTCTTTCCAAAAAAATTTTCATGTGACAACAACAGTGATAGCAGATGTTGTCACAATACTTGGGAGTTGTTTTTTCAACAACAATAGAAAGTTTACTAGTAGTTGACCCGGGGATTTATGAACATCGTACATTGAAAAACGAAATTCTAACAGACTTGTTCACGCGAGTTTGAACTCAGTGGCATTATTCATATTCGATCGTAAATACTGTCCTTTAATAATGCGAGTCATAACCTAATCTATTCATTTGTAATGTTGTTCATTCTACCCTTAATTACTTTTTGCTTATTTTGAACATTGTGCATAAGAGTTCTAGAAAAAAAAACACAGTAAAAAAGCCACAGGAACAATGCTCACAGGTGTAAATGCTCACAGGAAAAAAGGCCCACACAGAAATATGCCCACATAAGAAAAATACTCAGATGGAAAAATGCTCACTTAGAAATATGCTCACACGGAAAAAAGCTCACATAGATATATGCTCACATGGAAATAAGCCCAGTGATATATAAAATACGTAGAAATATCCTTACATTAATCAATCAATAATTAATCGATTTGAACATCGTACACCTACTTGAATTTTTTAAAGAAAAATTATTTGATCATTTGAAAAAATTATTGGAAAAATGCTCCTATTAACCTTTTTAGGGGCGGTATATAAAAGAATGAAAACTATAGTAAAATTTTGCATGTACTGTAATATTTTATACCACTGCCCCTTGTCCGACATTTTTTTCCTGTAACTGCCAATAGTTTATTTTCGTTTTTTATTTACTCTATTTTTGCATACTTTTGATGTGTATCTATGGAAATTGATGTTTGAATGTAGTTATTTAAGTCTGGAGCCACAAAAGTTCTAGAAGACCACAGTTTTCAATCAAAGTGTGGAATCATTATGAAGCAGCCTTCTAAAAATCCCCTAAAACAACAAATTATTACGAAAGCTTTCATAAGATACTAAATTCATTATTTAATTGTAACCATCCTAGTATGTGGTTTTTGTCTGACGGACTGAAAAAAGATTTAGCCTGTCAACATTTATTTCTAGCTGTTGTAAATACAGGGAGAACTGAAGTAAAAAGAAAACGAAAATATGAAAACTTACATTTGGTAATCGCGAATCATGTAAGAAACTATGATGAAATCGATGATAAAATTAGATATTTACATATATTAGCTAATATTCAGTAAGTTTGTAGAGACATTAGGTACTTCGGAAGCAGGAGATGTGAAAAATGAGCAAAGCCTTCGTCGGGAATCGAACCACGGACCTCTGGAATACGCGCCCAGCGTGCAGACCAACACACCACGAAGGCATTCTAGGAAGGCGGGAGAAATACTTTATATACTTTTCCCTTTTAAAGGGCGAATGGGATTTTTAGGGGACCCAATCGCCAAATCCCGGGTGTGAAGAATCATCATCCACCACCCTTTTAGTTCGGGCGCCACTGTAGAAACATTTGGTATTTTGAAAGCAGGAGATATAAAAAATTAGCAAAGCCTTTGCCGGAAATCGAACCACGGACCTCTGGAACACGCGCCCAGCGTGCAGACCACCACACCACGAAGGCGGGAGAAATACCTTATAAATTTATGTAAAATGTACATGATTTATATATAACAAGGTATTTTACGTAATTTAAATAAAATAATTATTTCTATTTGCTTATTCTTCTAAATGTTTATATTATAAAATGCGTAACTTACACTTACTATTATTTTATTTTTTAACAATTAAAATTGTAATAAGTTTTCGCTGTATATTCTGTTTCGTTTTTCTTCCTTCTTCCTCTCTTTTTCCTAATTCAAAACAGCCGATTTGTTAATATTACTAAATCTACACATAAGTTATACAGTTTCATTTATATATATATCATAGATGATTTGGTAATTTAAATAATTTTTCTTTGAAAAATTCAAGTAGGTGTACGATGTTCAAATCGATTAATTTATTGATTGATTAATGTAAGGATATTCCTACGTATTTTATTTATCAGTGGGCTTATTTCCATGTGAGCATATATCTATGTGAGCTTTTTTCCGTGTGAGAATATTTCTAAGTGAGCATTTTTCCATGTGAGCTTTTTTCTATGTGGGCATATTTCTGTGTGAGCTTTTTTCCTGTGAGCATTTATACCTGTGAGCATTATTCTGTGAGCATTTTTCCTGTGGGTATTTTTCCGGTCACCGTGCATAAGCTATGTCAGGCTATTATTGTGATTGCAGTTCTGGGACAGGACATCTGCCAGGTCCATATAAGACTTTCTCTCACTCAGATGTCTCTTTTACATTTCACTACTTATTTATTTTTTTACGTAATTTTTACTTATGTACTTTATATTGCACTATTTATTTATTGTATTACTTTTATGCTTTATGTTTCCTGTTATATTTACATACATTGCAATATGTTTCTTGCATCCTCTGTTCCCAAATCTGTAGCCATTGTCTAGTCATCTAGCTCCTGTAAGGATATGTTTCTCACTCAACGCCTTTCATTTTTCGATAAGCGCTGGATAGTGGAGGACGAGGGACGTGCACCTGCTTACCTCTGGCAGACGCCAGGTGTCCCGGTTCTCCGTCATCTGTCCTGCGTATTTTGAACGCACATTTAATTTATCAAATTAAAGGAAATTATTCTCCAAATGAGCTGCTTAAAACTCCAGCTAACTTGTTCACATTAGTTTTCTTTTAATTTTAATACGGGTTATTCTTGTTTCCAGTGTAGCCTTTTGAGTTGATTGTGAAAGCCGTCGCCGACATCCTTGTCCCCGTTAATCGATATTTCATTACAGACTAAGGAGTAAATCGAACCATAATGATGAAAGTTGTGTAATCAAATTTTCATTTGCCAATATATTTGCTACTAGATTTTTTATTGAATCTCTCAAAACCAACTTGAAATTTTTATGTCAGCCTGAAAAAGAAATGGAAAAAAAAATCAGCAGTAAAATAAATTGAATTTCTGAAGATCAGTTGAATTACCTCTCCTAGAAAGTCATTTGTATTGTACCGATCATAATCCCAACACGTGATTTCTAAAGTTCTTGTTTGTAAATCAGATCTTCGAAGGGGTGAGTATATAAAAGTTTGGTGCCATTTGGGCTCATTCGTATTAGCTATAGTTTTCGTTCGACGTTTACTTTTCTCACTGAAAAAGACAATTAATCAAAACATTAATGCACATAATAATTTGATTACAAATAATGATTTATCAGTAATAGTCATTTGAATGTGAAAGGCACTGACCTAAAATAAAACCAAATAAAAATATATATAAAAAATGAAAATTTGCTGAAAATCAACAGTATCTGGACACATTTTCGGACACAAAATGCCATCCTTCATCGGGGTCTAACAGAATTCTGCAAGAGGAGACAAATAAACGTAATTATTTCTACATTATTATAATCTTTACCCTACTTGTTTTTAATGGCAAATAGTACTCTAACTACAGAATGTTCTAATAAGCCTCTAATTTTGATGTCCGCCGAAATCATCGAGGATGGAAACGTCGAGGAGAAAATAATGCAAGGTGAAAACGTCGGGGTACAAAACATCGTGGAAGAAAAGAAAGCAAAGAGAACACACCGCAGGTTTTAAAACATCATAGTATAAAATATCCTTTTCGAAAATAAAGGGGTTCAAAAACTTCACAGTTTAAAAACACCATCGTCGAAAATATCTTGGTGAAATAATACGATAATAAAGCAGACATGATGATAATAAAGAAGACATGATGATAATAAAGCAGACATGCATTTTTCAGGCATTAAAACTTGTAAATGCATACTCGCATAAGGTTTTGTGAGCACCTGAAGGAAAGAGGAATATTTTTACTTTTACATTTCAAATTTTTGAATTACTAATAAATCTTTGCTAAAAGTGTAAGAAGACTTAAGCATTTAAAAACTGAAAATGAGCAGAATTTAATGCAACTTATAACACTTAATAGAGGTTTAAATTTGCTTAATTTATTTTAACTAATAAAGGTCATTCATAAATAAATTTTTTATATAGTTTTACTGGCAATTTTTCTTCGACGACGGTATTTTTGCACCACCATGTTTTCTCTTTGCTTTCTTTTCTCTCACTGTGTTTTGTACCACGACATTTTGACCTTGCGTTTTTTATTACGTGACGTTTACGTCCACGACGTTTTTGCCGGGATGTTTTATGCTGTAACCCTCGCTTTTGGTGACGTCAGAGGAGATCTTTTCATGACACACAGTGCAGAAACTGACGTGGAGGTAATTTATAAATAACTTTGTTTTACAATGAATAGAATTTTTGCGGCGATTTACATGATCGGAAATAAGTATCACAGAAATTAAATCTTTTATTTACATATTTTTCACAAGTGAAAGGCATGCCAGAAGTTTGACAAATGAAGACTTTGTTTGTCATTTGAAGTAGTTGTATACAAAGAATTTGGAGAATTTACAAGCATAAAATATTTTTTTTTTATAAAACGAAATATGTTATTTGTGATAAGACGCATTTTGATCCTTTATTTTTTTTAAAAATTTAAACTGAAGTTTCCGTTTTAAAGTTTTTTGTTTTAGCTAAACAAGCTTCCTTAAAAATTAAACGCCATAAAATACTAATTGAAAGTGATCAGTTAATTTTAATAGCAGAGAAATCTAAAATAATAAAATTTTATTCATTTTCCTTAAATGAATGAGATTTTTCAGGAATATGAGCACGTCATTTTGCATTTGAACTCATAAATAAAGCTGATATTTATATTAATAATTAATATAGGAAGTTGAAAAAACGAGTAATTATGCATTTGTTAAGTGAATATTACTTTGCATTTTCAAACCTTGTGATCTGAATCAATTTTTAATAAAATATTCAGAAGAGAAGTTTTTAAACTAGTCAAATGGCATATATTAAAATAATATTACTACCCATGGTACTGTGACAAGGTAGTAACATGAAAAACTGGTCTATGAAATTTTAATATACGAGTATATTTAATTTTTTGATACTGAGAGAAATATTAATAAAGTTAGCTACAATGCAGGCAAAATGAATTTATTCGCAAATTTTCTAAGCATTAATAAATAAACCTTAAAAATTAGAAAATATCCTTTTTTCATATTAGAAGGGGTTTATAACGAATTTCTAGAAAATCTAACGAATTTAAAGAGAGTTAAATCTACACAAGGAATTAAAGAAAAGAACGGCGTAATTTATTAGAATTTTGTACTTATAATTTGAAACTTCTTGGCCTTCAAAAATACTAGTGAAAAATATTGTTTTCCCGAATAATTCTAGGAGTTTTAAGTGTTTTCAAAATTATATCACATTATGTACCTCGATGAAGAGTATTTTGATAATATATGCACAAACTGAATTCGTTTGAAGTAAATTCATTCCGAAATAAAATAGAGTTTGCGGTTTAAATCTTTATTTTGACAGAAATTGTTATTTTATTTTTTATGAATTACTTTTAATGCTTAAAGAAAACCGTAATTTGTTTAAAAACAGTTGTTCGTAAGAAATGAAATTGTAGAGCGCTTAATAAATTTAAAAACAGAAGGAAAAGTTCTCATTAACGTGTTAAATTTCTAATTTTGAAACAAAAACATTGAGTTTTAACTTGTGAAAATTTATTTATTTATTTTGACTAATAGGTAATTTTGAGTTAAAGCAACTTTCCTGTCTCTCTCCTTTTCACCCACGCTTTTCATGCCAAAGTGTAAATTAGATAGCGAGCGTTTATTCTGATTAAAAGAGAAAGAAGTACTGTTTAAGCAAAAGTTTTGCAAGTTGATTTTAGAGCGTGTTCTGCCTACTTGAGACCACGTTGTTACCGTGACTAAATTACGATTTGATTCTGTGGCGTTGAGTGCTTCTAGACATTAGGCTTGTCTCTCCGATTTCTACGAGCCAGAGCTTTCCTGCGCGGTTAATTCATCCTGTGAGCCTTTAGGTTAGTCTAAATTACATTCCATTTTAAGTTCATCATTATTTGTTCAAGTTAAGCCAGAAGTGCTGGCTTATGTTATAAGGTCTTTTTCCCGCCTTCTTAGCAGGCCTTCGTAGTGTAGTGGTCAGCACGCTGGGCGCGTATTCCAGAGGTCGGTGGTTCGATTCCCGGCGAATGCGTTGCTCATTTTTCACATTAAATTCTGTTGTATTTTGGGGACATCCTTTATTTAAGTCACAGATACAGAATGAAAATTTATAAGTACAACAGCATTTTTTCAATTATATTTTTAAAACTCATTGTGGAAGAATAGAGAACCTCTGTATTAGTTCACTACTTGTTAATATAAAGGGAATTGAGAGAAATAAAACTTACTGTTACTTACTGAACCATCATTAAAACAATTTATAAAATATGATTTCATATAAATGACCATGTTTTCCAGCTGATAAAGTTCAAAACATTGAATTAAAAACCAAATCTATGGAAATCTAAAGATGATGGAAAAATGACATCGCCTGTTTTGCAACAAATATTTCTTTAATATGGTGTACGGTCACCGCTAATAGAAATACAAACCTCACGTTTTAAGTTTTTAAAATTTCCAAACTATTGATTAAGTCCTTGGAGAATTGAACGCCACTCTTCTGGAAATGTGCTTTTCAGATCTGGAGGCATCTGACGGTGCGGGGAGGCATTTGACGTTCTGCACTTATGTTGCTAAGGCATCTCATAGATGTTCATTCGGGCATCTATGAGATATTATGTCTGTTATTTAAGCTGGCTAATTCGTTCGAGTGATATTTTCTGTTTCCAAGTATTCTTGCTCGATGCGTATGAGCCTTGATATCCATTAGCAAACAAACTGGCTTAACAGACGCCTAAAAGTTTTTACTTGGGGCTCCAAGTATTGTCTACGTATCTGTGACCAATTACAGAACCTTTATCAAATCCATGCAGTTCAGTTCGGGCATTTTTGATAACTCCATCCTAAACCATGAAACATTTTCTTTAGACATGGTATTTTTCATGAACACGGGAAGGCAAGTTGCGTGCTCCTCGCTTGCTTCAAGACAAAAACGTATCCAGATTCGTAACACAGGTTACAAGCAGTACGCGGTCCCACTTTTCTTGGCTCATTTGAAGAAGACGACATGACGATGGTACCAAACTAACCGCGTTCTTTTGGAAGATGAAATTAGGGCACAAACCATAGGTTTTTTTCACATTAAGTCCAACCTTGTGAGGTTTTTGTAAAATTGGATAACGGATGATTCGAGTTTTTGTGGTAGCCTGAAGGTCTAAAACCAAATAATATTAAATCAAATACCTTTTAACCATTTCCTGGTCACATCCAGGCGAAATGACGAAAACAGTCTTAGGATGCAACTATTGCACTTCGCCGCTCTTAACCGGGCTGTCTAGTAATACACTCAATGCTTAAAATGCGGCTTCAAGTTCTTGATATGACACTTAGACAGATATTCATATATTGGTTGAGCTGCATTTATGTTTGTTCCCCCCTTAAAGCTTTCAGTTAACACCCACTTTTGCCCATTGCTTAAATGATGCCTTTGAATCGTAACTAACGAACGCTGCTCTTTTTCCAGAAACCATATTAACTTTAAACAGTACTGCAGAGTCGGATTCCAAGATGTGACCATTGTGCAACAGGTTGTCAGTCGCTTAATTTGTATACTTCATGATCGAACCTATGCGCAAAAGTCCAGTTTTGCTCTCAGTTATAGATAATTAACATAAATTATTACACCTTTGGACACTGGATGAAATTAGTGAGCTTAGTTTTTTAAATCGTCCTTTAATCAGCAGTGCATATTCTTCATAACTGAAATATTACTACGTCCATAACTAGATATAAAATGAGTTTTTCAGCGTTTCTCTGGTCTCTAGGAAGCAGAATCTGTGTAATATTTATAGCTACAATTAATCGATTTGTAATACAATGGATATAAAATCAGCTAATTTATGATTTGGAATACATAAATTGACTACGGTCAATTTATGTATGACTAGAATCAACATAATTTTCCATATAATAAGGCTAAATCTAAGTCATTTAAAAATCATGAAGTAGAATTAATGAATATTTTTCTTTAAAGAAAATGCATTGAAATTCTTAATTAATGCTGTGTACTATTCAAAATTTTAACACTTTTAAGATTAGAAATTCATGACTATTGATGTTTCAAACGTACCTGCGGTCAGGAAGTAAAAACATTTTTACATATGGATTCCTCTTCTGGCCTTGAGGGCCTGTTGGCAATCCCACAGCTTTCATAATGGTAACAACTAACTGTAATGTTCGTGAATCATACCACAGCTTCACCTGTTGCAAGAAAATAAAATTACTGAGTTATTAATGGAAGTCTTGAGCGTTATTTTTGATTCAATTCGAATAGTGAAGGGGTAGGTATTTCACAAGAATAAAAGTTTTTATTACCAAAATTAATTATAAAAATTATCAAAATTTTATAGTTTTTACTATCAAATCAAATTTTTCGTGTCTGTAATACATTCTTATTCAGAGAATTTTCTTATTTTAGTAGTAGAAGTTATTGTTCACAGTAGGAAAGCAGTATTTACAGGAAAATAATATGACTGCTTAAAGCTGCATGCAGATTGAAAGTGTCTGCAGATTGAAATGAAAGAATAGGGTGCATTTATAGCGTTAAGGGGCATTACTAATAAGTTACGTGGAAAGAAACACAAATTTAGAAACTTTTTCCTTTTAGTAAGGCTAAAGTGTGAAGGAACATTAATGAAAATATATGGCAGTTTTTATTTATGCTGTCCAAAGCTCTAAAGTTTTCCAACAAAATCAAACAAAGGCACACTGAAGCCCTTTTTTAACAAACTTCAGTAGTTGAATGCTAAAAATGTGCGAACAGTTTTCACTGAGAGCAAAATGTGGTATTTGAATTCTTTGCTCCAGTGATATAAAACTATTGTTCATACATAAAATCGCTATAGATCAACAAAAATTGAGGGTGATTGCTTTGGTTTTCCAAGGTAGTATACATCTATTGCGGAAAATCTTCAATAAAATAAGACAAAGAACTGCTTATTTATCAAAGGCTCAATTAATTAGTAAATTATTCTTCATTAATTTACAAAAATTATGTATATTATATTATTTATATGCTTATGAACCATGCAGAGTTGAAAACTACTTTTGCTAACTATATTTACTTTTAAACAAAATTATGAAACATTCCTATTTATAAATAAATTACTCTCTTTTCCTGCTCTTCGTGAAAGAATTATCTCATTTTGGTTTGGTTTGTGTGATTATGACAGAGCTACAAGGACTATCTGCCTAAGGGAAGGTTTTCCTTCGTGGAGGAATTTCTAAGGGAAACTTGTTCATTATACATGGGAAAAACCACGAAAACTTCCATGCAGCAATCTCGTTCGGGGGATTCGAGCTTCGGATCGAACTTTTAGTGTTCAGCGATTTTGCCGCTCGGCCGCTGGTATCCAAAATATCTGAAAAGTTAGTATACGTTTTTGAATGGCAGGATATGCATCTGTCGCTATCCTTCATGTAAACTGATTTAATACCCATTTCTAAGGAATACTTGTATTCTCCATTCTGACAAATGTAGTCCAACTGCACGAAAAAGGAGAGAAAATATAAAGATTGCATGGGCCCTTTTCCAACCCCGTAAAGACAGCTGCATGAAAAATGTTTTCCTCCCCCATCAAATATCACAGAAGACTGCATGCCTGCCGAAGAAGGCGCATAATAAACTTCTCCCTTTTAAAAATATTAAGGGATACTTATAAATTTTGCTTTTGGAAGCCAAATTTTATCCAAAGCGAGTAACAGAAAAATTTTAATTTGCTTACTTTCGTGTTTTAGGTTTTACACACCAAAAATCTTGTTTCTGATGAGTAAAACTCGAGTTTCTAGAGGTGAGTAAAATTTGAATTTAAAAGAATAAATATTGAGTGGTGTTTTCAAGTGAGTAAAAATTGATTTTTAGAAACTTTAAAATGAACTTATGGCTCGAAACATTAAAATTAAATTTTAAGGAATTTTTAATACTTTCTTGCTGTTTTCCAACAAATTTCAACAAACATTTTTACAAATTGATAGTTTGGATAAACAACAGCCTAACTAAGGCAATTTTTGAGTAACTTGTTTTTAAATATGTTCCTGAAAATTCATTATACATTTCATTCGATTTTGCGATTTTTTTAGTACTTAATCTCTATTTTATTTAAACTGAAATGTTTATTTCCCTTTGATATATTGTTAACTTTTCTTAGTTGATATATTTACTTTATGATGTCTTCTGTCTTTTAGCATGTCTGGCTGATGTAATATTATTTAAATCTTTATACATATTGTGTGGTTGGTATAAATATTAAATTCTTCCTAAAAGATTTTAGTTAAAATATTTTAATAAGTTTTAATGTAAATGCATAAAAGTAATAACATGAGTAAGTAGTGAGGTAAATGACTAAATATAATAATATATGTAAGTAGTGAGGAAATTGAATAGAATTAATAACAGAAGAAAGTAGGGACGTACAAATGAACGAAAATTAGCAAAATTATAAAAGTATCCATAACTATGATCACGTTTTCTGAAAGTTACAAATCTGATTTCATCAATGCAAAAAAAGCTCCAATAAGGTGTTTATGATTGTTTCAGGATTCTCTTACAGAGGGTAATTAAGAATAAGAAGTGCGGAAAAAATGTTATAACTACTTCAGTGTTCTATCAAGAGAAAGTTTTACCCCGATATTTGCAGAAGTTCCATTTCTTTATCCCAATAACTTTCAAAGACCAACGAGATGTACTTCAAAGGTACCATTGAATTCCCTGAAACAATTAAAACTGTACAGGTATTGCATATGTACCTTTTCAACGTATTCCTGCGAAGTTCTCTCACTTTTCACCTGTGGACTCTTGTAACTCTCTTGCTGCCTTTCCGTTCTCGTAAAGAGCTCTTTCTTAGCTCAAACTCACCATGATTGATGAACTTCGGAAATTAATGGAAGAGGAATGGAAATTAGTACCTCTGGAAATTTTACGAAAAGCCTTTCTGTCATGGAAATCATGATGAATACTTGTAAACCAGGAAAAAAAGCTCTGAGATCGAACATTTAAATAAAACTCTCCATATTTTAAAAATTCATTAAACGGCCTCGAAATCGTTCTAAAAATGCACAAACACCCTCCGTAATTTTATTTAACCTGTATAAAATGTACCTCAGTTTTTTGGATTATATATATATATATATAATATATAAATAACCTAATAGCTTTATATGGGTCAAAAGCTAATATATATATATGTAAATACATAAAGAAAGAGAGGCTAAAAATTATAAATAATATATATATACCGGGTGGCCATAATTAAACTGACAGTGCTCACAGTGTTCTGTAGCGCGATCTATTTACGAGAATTACGCCACATTTTGTAGGAAGATTAAACAAGACGGGGGAAGAAGGATTCCGCGAAAACAAATTAGTTCCAAAAGTCACCGCTAGGGGAATAATTGGAGCTGTGTAATAGAAAATAGAGTGTTAACAAATGCAAATTAATACGGAATAAAATTTATCGTAGGTCCATTCTTCTGTGAGAACATTACCCCGACAGGACCGTAAACTTGTTCTATTACCGGAGAGAAATATCGCCACATGTTGAACAGCTTTGTCATTCCGGCACTTCAGCAAAGACAATGCCTGGGGGAAATCATTTTCATGCAAGATGGAGCCCCTCCACACGTTGCTGTACGGGCGCAACAGATGCTACGACAGAAATTCACAACAGAAAGAGTCATTAGCCGCTACTTTCCAACTGCATGGCCACCTCGGTCGCCTGATCTTACCCCATGCGACTTCTGGCTATGGGGTTACCTTAAGTCCAAGGTCTATCAAGGAGTGGTCCAGGACCTGGCTACATTGAAGGATAACATATCAAGGACTGTACGGGAGATTCCTGCAGACATGTTACTTTCTGCTGTTGTGCATACTGTGCACAGAATGCAATATGTGGTCCACAACAACGGCAGCCACATTGAACCTCATTTGAATGCAAAGTAAAAGGTAATTTCCTTATTGATTTGCATTTGTTAACACTCTATTTTCTATTACACAGCGCCAAATATTCCCCTAGCGGTGACTTTTGGAACTATTTTTTTTTTCGCGGAATCATTCGTCCCCTGTCTTGTTTAATCTTCCTACAAAATGTTGCGTCATTCTCGCAAATAGATCTCGCTACAGAACACTGTGAGCACTGTCAGTTTAATTATGGCCACCCGTTATATGTGTATCAGAATAGATCAGAAGTTAAAAGCTACGACGGTTTGTATAACAGCGTATTCTATGAGAACTTCAACATTTGATGTAAGACTCACTTAAGCTTTATTAAAGTATAACATAGCTGTTATTTCAATTCATTTTTACTTTAGCACAACCTACAAACGTTTGATTTCATGTTAATTTAGCATGTAAAATGTTTCTGCCAGTTTTGCTGTTCATTCTACGTTCTACACCACCAACATTACTACTTTTTTTTTCATTACAAATAGTGGATGAGGATTAAATATTCAGCTTTATTTCAATTTACATTTGCAGCCACAATTTGCTTGGCATTCTAATCTTGCCTATTCAAGAACGTTTACATTTTGGTACTGTTGGATGGGAGGAGAGCGAGTGAAGTAGTGTCTTAGCGGCAAGAGATCTGAAGCAGAAAAGCGCGGAATTATCCAGAATGGCAGTCTATTAAGAGAAGGTTTCAGCTTAAGCTGCTTATTAAGGGAGAGTTTCAGTTTTCGAAATTTTTAATTCAGGTTTTGAATTAACAACGTCTTTAGCATTATGCAAGCCGTGTGACATAGAAGCCTAGAAATGATGCAGTCCAGAAATATTATTACTATTTTTAGAATAAAGAGGAGATTTAAGGGTTATAGTTAATTTAAATTATAATTTATCTTTTTACTTTATCTTACACATTTATATCAAGGAGAAGAAGAAACAAAAGTAATACAATTCGTAGATTTCCAAGGATTTTTTTTATTGGATTTCAGATGCCTGTTAATAGGAAGCGAGAATAAGTTGCGTATTTTCCATAGTCTTGTGCAGTTAGTATACTTATAAAACCTCCCTTAATTAAAATAACTGCAGTTAGTAGCAACCGCATTTAACACTGATAGTTAAATAACATTTTCTTTCCAGCAGCGACCGAGCGGTAATGTTGCTGAAGACTGGTAGTTCGACCCGAGGTTAGAATCCCGCGAACGGTCTGGCTTCACGGCGTTTTCGTGCTTTTACCCATGTGTAATGTGTGTACGAGCCAGTTTTCTTGAGAAATTCCTCTACGAAGGCATCTCTTCCTTTAAGCAGATAGCCCTCGAGTGCTTTGCCATAGTCAAATAAACCAAATACCCTTCGCAATTTTTTGTTTAAATAAGGTTTGCAGATATTTAACTGCTGCTGTTAATAAAGAAAAATATTTCTTAATAGCTTTAAGACATTATATTCCATCTCGTTGGATTCATTTCTATTTAGTTCTGCATGTATTAAGTTTTTATTACCTGAATCCTTCCACCAACGGAAGCATGGCGAGGCCTGAGTGGCATTTTATCTGGTGAGCTTGGAGACGTGATCATCACACTTGGCCTTCTGTCCTCTTGGAGGCTCATTTGCTTTCGGGTGTCCAAAGTAACGAGCCAATCTGATTTTAGAAGAAAAAAAAATATGAAAGATTCTGCTTAGTACCAGAATTGTAATAGTAATTTAAAGTTTTTAATTAAAATATGCTTAAGTTGAAGAACGGCATATTACGTAGTAACATATTCTTGCTGATTAAGAATTTGAAATCACATGGCCCTTAGAATTTTGTGCAAAAAATATTGCGTAAAATAGAGAGAATATGGTAGTACAAAATATCAGATGTTCACATACGACTTATGAAGAAAAAAAAAAAAAAATTGAAAAATTCATTGATAAATGTCACTTTTTGATGGAAAAAGTACAAGGCAGACTGGTAAGCTAACTTCCTATACGCATTTTATTTGAGCGTAAGTTGACATAAAGATCTTTTAAACACTGTAAAACATAAATATAACTTCAATCTCGCATGAGTTAATACATACGTAAATTTATATTCAAAATTTAAAGTTTCCATACGCTGTGTGTATATGTTTACTTATTTATCAATTTACACCTTCGAATCAAAAACAATTAATGCATGTTGAATTCAAAATTGATTGGTAAGTATACTTAAACGTGCAAATAAAAACGGGAATATGAGTAACGTCAGATATGCAAACTAATAAATTAACCATATTTATTAGAGATTTATTATACTTATTATATATATTAGCAGAGTTATTATGATAAATTGCAAGATTAAACAGTGAAAAATGATTAACATACAAGGTAATTAATTAAGTAAGATTTAATATTTAAATCAGAAGTACCATTTATTCAGTCATAAAATATTTTGCGCTAAAATGCATTTCATTAATAGAAATTTGAGCTCGCTTAGCTTAAATATTAATGCATGCATGAAAGCAGCCAATATGTATTAGTGAAGAGATTGGACAGTTGAAAGACATGTAGTATAACAATAGTACATTTAACTGATATACAAAGTATATATATTTCTCTTTTGCCTGTATTTGAAGCTGTTAGACATTCGTTTAATAAGAATACGAACTGACTTTAATTATATTCTTTTGTAGTACTTTAGTAGACTTTAATTACATTCTAGTTATTTTAGGTGGCGGTTTTTAGCATTTTTTAAATTATTAAAGGAAGTTAGATTTGAGGCTGTGTTGTCGTTCATTAAAAATGTAAAACCCGTTGTTTGAAAGTGCATTGCAAAGAGAGGATTCACTTATTAGCTTTCATCTGCTTCAAGAGCTGAGAGTTCTATCGGCTTTCAACAACTTTCATTCGTGCTGTAGTTTAAGCCAATGATTCTCAAATTTCCTCGGTTCGCGGTGTCCTTAGGCAAAACATAAGACTAACTAACAGTTAGATTGATTAAATTGATGCTGTTCGATTAATTAAATTAAAAAGAAAATAAATGGAACACTTATTTCTGATTTACAAACAGTTTATGTAAAATGTATTAAAATAAATATTTATCCTGAATAAACGTATCACTAAATAAATCTCAATTAGCGGAACAAATATGTGTGTTATATACTGTGCATCTCATTTTGAAATCAACTTGGACACAGTCAAACTATTTCTAGCTCCACATTTGTTTATTCAGACCCCCCCAATATAACTTTACAGAAACATTTGACGTCTCAGACAGAATTAAGAGTCCTTTAATTTTACTACTGAAATAGCGAATATTCATCGTTTACTGAAAGCCAACAGTTAACTAGTTATAGATATTACCATAACTCGATAAGACTTCGTTCTATAGAAGTAAATTCAATTGAAGTTTGGGCTATGGAATGGCCCTGAATTCATACAAATTTTTTGGTATTATCTCCTTGAAAATATTAGGAAAGTTAGATCTATGATAGGTGTATTTTGAAACTAGTTTGTGCTTTATTGATGGTATTTTCCACCATAGTATCAACAAATCGATAATCCGGTTATATAATCGTGTATGCCAAGTTCCTCTTTGATGAAAATACACCAGCCCTGCGAGGTAGCGACGGCAATCCTAGACACCAAGGCTCGAAGTTTGGGACCTTCTGGTGTAAGTGTCATAGAAATCACAGGCATAAATGACGAGCAACTTGAGGAGTTCTAACATTAGCAAGAGATTTGGAGATATAAGACATAAAAATACAGTACTAGAATGTTTCAGGACTAAACAAAAATAAAGAAGTAGGCTAATTGTTTAACCTCATATTCATTCAAAATATTTGCATTTTGTTCAATGAAGTGTTTGCTACGAGTTCTTTGTTTCTGCGTGACATTAGAGCAGTCTTTCAAAAAAGGCCCATTGAACATTGATAATTTAGTGCGAATTTGAAGCCCGGCGATTGGTCTGGGTTTACACGGGTGAATTTATGCTTTTTCTGGCATGTAAAGCAAGGTCTCCTTTACCTTAGGCAGAAAAACTTTTGTGATTTCCAGTATCCAAATAAACAAACACTCCCCCCCCACCACTCTGCCAAAGAAGAACTAAGAGTCCGAAGGTAATTTCTTTATAAGCTCGGTCACTTATATTTGAATGTGGACAGTCGGGTTGTTTTAGCTGCAGTTTAAGGTTTAGCAATAAAACATATTTCGGGACAGGGAAATCCATCAGTACATGGTATGGCGCAAAATCTCCAACTGGATTTTTTATTAAAGCATCAATGCCCGTAGAAGAGCCGAGACTTTGCAATGCAGAAAGGAAAAAGGTCGCGAGTAAAATTATTTCAAGAGTAACGTGTTGACATATTTAAATTATTCTGCATTAACTGCGCAACTCTCGTTCACAAATGATACCATGGCTTTCGTAAAAGTCGACTAATGTCATCTTTAACTGATTTTAGATAACGTTAACAAACAAGCGACCTTGAATTGTAACTCCATAAATGTTTAGAACCATTCTCACTATCTTTGAAGCCGACAAATCGAATTTCTATGACAATAAAATTTTATTATGACAGTAATTCAGTAAAATGTAATTATACCATTCCTTTTTTTCATCCCCATCTGAAACTACTGACAAAGAGCATAACTGATAGAAACGTCCTTGCAACAGCTGAAATCAGACTAACATAGCTTGGTAGAATCTTCTAGGAGGATTTCTAGCGTCTGCTTCTCCTTCATCTTGAGTACTACGAGAAAACATTTAGTCATAGAGCTTTAGGATGATACTGTTGAAGAATCACTCTTGAGAAAGAGCCAAATCACAGACGTTATCCTGTCCCTCTGTAAATTTAAATCTGCTTATGCCTGAATTTTAGTATTAGGTCATTATTTATAGTAAGAATAAAAAGCACTGGCACTGAAAAAATTACTTATTCTCTTAAAAACAACAGAATGGAACGAGAATGTTGCTACAACGATTCACGATTTGTGTTATAGTTACATGATTATTGTTGTATAGTGAATTTAAGTAGTCTAATTAATTTCTCAATTATTCCAAATTTATACTACACAACGCTTGTTTTATCTTAATAGGAGAATAATTGTTCCTTCTACTAATTGAGGGTTTTATAAGTTTAACTCTGTTTCTCACTCAATTTCTCAGCCAACGCGAATGAGACATTTGGTAACTGGTCGAATTTTCTACGTAATATTGAGGTTTAAAATTACTTAATATGATCATTTATATATGAAACATAATCTGCTTAAGCTTTATATCTTTCATGTGAGCCTACTTTCGTTAAGATAGGTGCAATAGGAATTAAGTTACGCCTGATTAATTATCTAAATTTTTGTAAATCCGGTTAGATTCTTTCGAGTGTTAAAATAGTCATTTTTGAGGACTACGTGTCGTTACAATTACAAGCTCCCATTTTTGTTTCTTGACTTGGATGGGAAACTTTGCGTGCGATAAAAAGATTTCTACATTCTTTGGGGGTTTGGCGAGAAGGGGAGGGAGTTGCCAGAACTTGTATGAACTTCTGAGAGAAAAAGTGAAATTTTTTCTACTATTTTCTTCTTGGCGCTTTTTGAGTGAGGTTTTCCCCAACATTAGTGATTTCTCCGGCATGTGGTGTCCATTCAGATTAAAAAATGCGTGCAGGCTATTTTCGCTCTCTTGCTCCTGAATCTGCTGTACAGTAACTTCGTAGCAGTGAAGAGGGGCAAAAATTTTGTTGCTCCCTCGGGCATTAGCATGAAGATGCTGCTTGATTTTTCATAGTCGGTTTTCTTCATTAACTTTCCGCCATAACTGATTGATGCAATATTCACGAAACTTTTCATGGTCGGGATAAATATGCAGTTTCTACAGTATTTCTTAAAAGCAACGATTTCTTAAGCCTGAGGGCGTCCTCCATGGACCATTTGCGATGGCTCTCTTCGCCTGGACATCTTTACCAACGATACCGGTATACGTAATCTACTGTTTCCTCCCTTGAAGGGCTGAGAGCCTCTGAATAATAATATAGTGGTTCTCCTAGCCAAGTTTCTCCCCAGCATATCATATTGAGGACTGATTTCACATTTTGATCCTAAGTTCTACGACTAGTGTCTGATGATGAGCATTACCGTTTCTACAACGTGCGGAGCCAACTGTGCAGTTCGTCTTTTAAAAGGAAAAGGAATTTCAGACTCGGGATCCATCCGCGCCTAAGGCTGATGTGTTTCCTGCTTCCAGCCGAATGATTTTGGCAGTTGTTTTTCCATCGTTTTTCATCTGAACCTTCTCTTAGGTTCCCGGTCCCACAGTACGTGCAGCAGTGTCCGGATTCAAGGATTAATGCAGACAGATAAGTTCTTTCCTTTTGGGTTAATGTGCAATTATGACATTTCGATGTCAATATTTTTTTTTAATTAAAGGAAAAATAAGTTAAGGTTAAGAAAGAAGAGGAAAGTTAAATTATTCAGGTTTCGGAAGGAATTTAATTATCTAAATTGATTGCAATAGTGCGGTAGGAAAATTATATATTCTTTTAAATTCCGGTTTTAGAAGCGTGCTCGCATCCCTGGTTCAGTTCAGTAGTACATGGTAATGAAATTTAATAAAATTTATGTTAACTTAATTGCCACGGTATTATTAGCTTTATGGAGGATAAAGGAAACAACGCAAAAAAATGTTAA